CCGCCGGTATTTAAGCCAGCGGCGGCTTAAATTTGGCTTAGATAAGCTGGATTTTTAAGCCGACTTATAAATCAGCTTATGCAAGTCGATTTTTAAGCTCGGCTTGGCTTCTTGTTCAATAATGCTCCACTTAAGGAGAAAGCATGTTCACAGAAAGAGGAAGTTACACTTAAGCCTAGCATGGTACGAGCTAAATTGTATAGGTTCGGGATATTTTGCTTATTTTGCTTCCAAAACAGTAAAATATCATCACTCCTAGAATATGACGAAGCAATCAGCATGTATCGGTCAATCTCATTTTCTATCATTCTTTCGCCAGCATCGAAACTATTAGAACTTTCTTCTGATTCAAGATCTTGAAGCATTTCCAGTCGAAGGCGCTTTGCAGGACCAATTTCTTGAGTGGCTGCATCAATAATTGAGTTTGAAACTGAAGCAGAACTATTCTAATGTTCTTTGACATTTAATTTTTGCATCATATCCAGAAGAATCTGCTTTATTGTCACGCTTTTGATTTCAAGCTGAGAAGCTACCACGTTAGATTTTAGCTGACCAGGGTCAAGAAAAGATGCAATAATCCATTCATTTTCGACTGACAACCTCTTCTCAAGAGATTGTATGGCCAAAAAATAAACGTCACTCAATACGGTTTCTTTATTTGCTAGAATCGTTAACCTGTATAAAATTCAATTTAAAAATATATGTTCAGAAAATCATAAGCGTGTAAAAATTCATTAATTTATAAAAGGGATTTCAAGTGGTATTCGAAGTTTGATGTCAGCAAGTGCAAGGGGATTTTTGGGATTATCACAGATTATAATTAAAAAATCTTTGACATTAATATTAATTTAATAAAGTTATATTTTGTTGACTAAAATACAGACATTATTTACTGACTTGATTTACTAATGATGAAAAAAATTTAAAAACAGATACGTTGCAAATATTCATCGGGCCTGGACGGATGTCAGAAATAGGCAATTTTCTCCATATTTCTGTTTTCCTTGACATTTGTCCAAACGTTTAATTATTACTCTCTATTGGTTGGCTTTTAAAATTTATTTAATTGTTTTGGAAACATAATTAAATGAATACAATAAAGTTTTGGAATTTTTAATGGTTTTGAAATTTTTAAATTTTTGATGTCGCGACTTGTTTGTTTGCAAAAAAACAAAATCAAATTTAAAAGAAATGAAAATATTTCTTAAAACTGAAGTGTAGGAGCTTATTAAAATAATTGGAATTGTTTCAATATCATATGTGTTCCTTATTAAATCCACAAATCTAATGTAAACTAGTTAAACAATCATGATTATATTAAATGAATTCTTGGTGATTTGATTTAAGATAGTGTTGGTAAAAAATTCAATTTTTTTTTCCGTTGAACAAAAATTAGTAAAAAATAATTTAAATTTTCATAAAACATTTTTACTTTACTGTTCATATTAAAATTGCTATTTTAAATGATCGGCTAAGTCAAGGCTTAAAAAATGGCTTAGATAAGCTGAATTTTAAGCTCGGCTTAGAGATCGGCTTACATAAGCCGACTTATAAATCAGCTTATGCAAGCTGGTTTAAGCCGCCGACTTAATCGGCTTCGAACTCTGATTTAAAACATATCTAGGTTTAAAAAATGATAAAGAATGCTAATATAGATTTAAAATCAATTTTTTGTTTTGAAATTAGGCTTCTATGATCAAAAACCAAAAATGCTTTAAATTGCATTTTAAAACATATCTAGGTATTATAAATGATAAATAATGCTAATAAAGATTTAAAATCGATTTTTTTTTTTGAAAATAGCCTACTATGATCAAAAACCAAAAATGCTTTAAATTGCATTTTAAAACATATCTAGGTTTAAAAAATGATAAAGAATGCTAATAAAGATTTAAAAAGGATTTTTTTTTTTGAAAATAGCCTTCTATGATCTAAAACCAAAAATGCTTTAAATTGCATTTTAAAACATATCTAGGTATTATAAATGATAAAGAATGCTATATAGATTTAAAATCGATTTTTTTTTTTGAAAATAGCCTTCTATGATCAAAAACCAAAAATGCTTTAAATTGCATTTTAAAACATACCTAGGTATTATAAATGATAAAGAATGCTATACAGATTTAAAATCGATTTTTTTTTTGAAAATAGCCTTCTACGATCAAAAACCAAAAATGCTTTAAATTGCATTTTAAAACATATCTAGGTTTAAAAAATGATAAAGAATGCTAATAAAGATTTAAAAAGGATTTTTTTTTTTGAAAATAGCCTTCTATGATCTAAAACCAAAAATGCTTTAAATTGCATTTTAAAACATATCTAGGTATTATAAACGATAAATAATGCAAATATAGATTTAAAATCGATTTTTTTTGTTGAAAATAGCCTTCTATGATCAAAAACCAAAAATGCTTTAAATTGCATTTTAAAACATATCTAGGTATTATAAATGATAAAGAATAATATATAGATTTAAAATCGATTTTTTTTTTGAAAATAGCCTTCTACGATCAAAAACCAAAAATGCTTTAAATTGCATTTTAAAACATATCTAGGTTAAAAAAATGATAAAGAATGCTAATATAGATTTAAAATCGATTATTTTTTTTGAAAATAGCCTACTATGATCAAAAACCAAAAATGCTTTAAATTGCATTTTAAAACATATCTAGGTTAAAAAAATGATAAAGAATGCTAATATAGATTTAAAATCTATTTTTTTTTTTGAAAATAGCCTACTATGATCAAAAACCAAAAATGCTTTAAATTGCATTTTAAAACATATCTAGGTATTATAAATGATAAAGAATGCTAAGAAAGATTTAAAATGGATTTTTTTTTTGAAAATAGCCTTCTATGATCTAAAACCAAAAATGCTTTAAATTGCATTTTAAAACATATCTAGGTATTATAAACGATAAATAATGCCAATATAGATTTAAAATCGATTTTTTTTTTTGAAAATAGCCTTTTATGATCAAAAACCAAAAATGCTTTAAATTGCATTTTAAAACATATCTAGGTATTATAAATGATAAAGAATGCTATTATAGATTTAAAATCGATTTTATTTTTTTTTGAAAATAGCCTTCTATGATCTAAAACCAAAAATGCTTTAAATTGCATTTTAAAACATATCTAGGTATTATAAATGATAAAGAATGCTAAGAAAGATTTAAAATGGATTTTTTTTTTGAAAATAGCCTTCTATGATCTAAAACCAAAAATGCTTTAAATTGCATTTTAAAACATATCTAGGTATTATAAACGATAAATAATGCTAATAAAGATTTAAAATCGATTTTTCTTTTGAAAATAGCCTACTATGATCAAAAACCAAAAATGCTTTAAATTGCATTTTAAAACATATCTAGGTATTATAAATGATTAAGAATGCTAATACAGATTTAAAATCGATTTTTTTTTGAAAATAGCCTTCTATGATCTAAAACCAAAAATGCTTTAAATTGCATTTTAAAACATATCTAGGTATTATAAATGATAAAGAATGCTATATAGATTTAAAATCAATTTTTTTTTATAAAGCCTTCTATGATCAAAAACCAAAAATGCTTTAAATTGCATTTTAAAACATATCTAGGTATTATAAATGATAAATAATGCTATTATAGATTTAAAATCGATTTTATTATTTTTTTTTGAAAATAGCCTTCTATGATCTAAAACCAAAAATGCTTTAAATTGCATTTTAAAACATATCTAGGTATTATAAATGATAAAGAATGCTATATAGATTTAAAATCAATTTTTTTTATAAAGCCTTCTATGATCAAAAACCAAAAATGCTTTAAATTGCATTTTAAAACATATCTAGGTATTATAAATGATAAATAATGCTAATATAGATTTAAAATCGATTTTTTTTTGAAAATAGCCTTCTATGATCAAAAACTAAAAATGCTTTCAATTGCATTTTAAAACATATCTAGGTTTAAAAAATGATAAAGAATGCTAATATAGATTAAAAATGGATTTTTTTTTTAAAACAGCCTACTATGATCAAAAACCAAAAATGCTTTAAATTGCATTTTAAAACATATCTAGGTATTATAAATGATAAAGAATTCTAAATAGATTTAAAATCAATTTTTTTTTTGAAAATAGCCTACTATGATCAAAAACCAAAAATGCTTTAAATTGCATTTTAAAACATATCTAGGTTTAAAAAATGATAAAGAATGCTAATAAAGATTTAAAATGGATTTTTTTTTGAAAATAGCCTTCTATGATCAAAAACCAAAAATGCTTTAAATTGCATTTTAAAACATATCTAGGTTTAAAAAATGATAAAGAATGCTAATAAAGATTTAAAATGGATTTTTTTTTTGAAAATAGCCTTCTATGATCAAAAACCGAAAATGCTTTAAATTGAATTTTAAAACATATCTTGGTATTATAAATGATAAAGAATGCTAATATAGATTTAAAATCGATTTTTTTTTTGAAAATAGCCTTCTATGATCAAAAACCAAAAATGCTTTAAATTGTATTTTAAAACATATCTAGGTATTATAAATGATAAATAATTCTAATATAGATTTAAAATCGATTTTTTTTTTTGAAAACAGCCTGCTATGATCAAAAATCAAAAATGCTTTAAATTGCATTTTAAAACATATCTAGGTATTATAAATGATAAAAAATGCTAATATAGATTTAAAATCGATTTTTTTTTGAAAATAGCCTACTATGATCGAAACCAAAAATGCTTTAAATTGTATTTTAAAACATATCTAGGTATTATAAATGATAAAGAATGCTAATATAGATTTAAAATAGATTTTTTTTTTCATATTCACACAAAATTTTCAATTTTTGTGAATATGCTTTTAAGAAAATTTTCTTTATTCTGTTAAATGTGCTTTTATTTATGATCGATTCTCTAAGGAATTATTCACCTATTTACCATCATAATACAGTTGATAATTTTTTCCATTTTTTTCTTATTAAATTGTGTTAAATTATTGTTTATTTGTTAGCTAATGGCGGCTTTGAAGTAACACTTGAGGATGAGGTTACGGCTCTAATGCAGCAAGTGGCTGATTTAAAGCTTCAAAATGAAACATTGGGAGTTCAATTAGCCCAATGTGCGCAGCTTCTGCCTCAAATGTCTGATAATGATCCAGTTGGAAGAAAGCCAGCGACGTTAATCTTCGCAAATGAAAAATTTAAATTCGAAAAATAATTGGTAAGGCTAATGAAATTTTTTTTATTTTTTGACTTTATTATTTATTAATTTTTTAATCTATTTACAGCGGACTAATGCGCAACCTGAGGAAATAAGAGAAAAATTAAAGTTAGTATTGACTGAATTTGAAGAGGCAAAGAATTCGGAAGTGGAAGTCCGAAGAGGAAAATCACTGTTATATGCTTTGGCGAAAGACGGCTATAATGAATATTGCGGACAGAAAGCTAGATTTCTCGATGGCCTTGACGCAGTTGGGAGTGCTGAATTTATAGAAATTTAATTTTTAAAAAAAATACAGATTTAAAATCAATTTGTCCGTTAATTTTAACCAATATTTTTATTTGGGACGTAGGCACTCAACATTTTCACTTATTAAATATTTACTCGTTATTTTAACATATTCTTTGTATGTTTATTTAAAACAACAGTAAGTTCAGTTTAATAATTCTTAGTTTTAATCAGTTTTAATATAAAGAGAAACCAAAGATAATTAATTTAATCAAAAGCTTCTTATTTTAGATCATGGACAAACTAATTTCACTTCCGGATGAAATATTAGTAAAATGCTGCGATCTACTATCATTTAAAGATTTACTTAATTTATCACTCATTTCAAAAGACTGGTTTCATTTCATTGGTAACACAAACGAAAGTTTAAATAGAATAATATTGGTTTATTCTGAATGGAATAGAGACGCAATTTTAAATTCTTTGAACATTAGACCGTATAACCATGCAAGAATTGAATTGAGATCCTCATTAGATGATGAGAGCATGCGAAATTTGAAATATTTTATCGATAGTTTATCATGCAATTAAGTGGTGAAATGGCATCAGTGGCCTAAATGGTAGAGCGTTGGCCTTCTGTGCCAAAGGTCCTGGGTTCAATCCCAGGCCATGTCTAATTTTCGAAGCTTTTTCCATTTCACCGTTCTAGTTACGAAGCTCGGTTCGTGTGTTGGGTGTAGTTTTGAGGTCTTTGGCACAGAATATGCCTCCTTTGCTAGGTATACAAGGATATACTAGCATCTGGATGACTTCCTTACGGCATCTTGCGCACACGAATTGTGACTAGGTACATTGCAGGGTACATCAGGTCTTATGACGTACTCGTGTCTTTACAATGTGCAGAGCTTGCAAGTGGTTCGGATCCCACTATAAACTGTAGGTCTAAAGGGTGTGGTACAATAGATTCTGTTCTAATTTGAATCGCAGTGCCTCCAGCTGAAAGGCTGGGCCCTTCACACATTATTATTATTATTATTATTATTATCATGCAATTTGACCAGCATTGCAACAACCATAGATATACCGTTCATATTAAGTTTACCAAAATTAAAGAGACTTAATTTCTATTGCTTGGATGAACTTCATAAAGGAAGCTTTCATTTTGAAAAGTGTGGGCTTCTCAGCAAGTCAACATCATTAGATGAACTCAGTATCGGTGATTCGTGTGATTTAGTTTTATCACACATTGATGAATTTCTACAAAACTTAAAATTTCTGAAGAATTTAAGCGTACACAACACTTCATTTTTGAACGAATATACAGCCAACAGATATCAATTCTCTTTATTATGTTTCTCTTTTACTGCACACACTGCTGTGCCAATGTATTTACAATTTTTTTTAAATGACCATCGAAAGAGTATCGAAAAACTTCAATATGGACCTGTTTTAAGTTATCATGAGTTGAGAACACTTTTATCATTCCCAAACCTCAGTGAACTAAAATTGTTGCGAATTTCGTTTGAGGCTAAAGAGCATCAAAATTATCCAGTTAACTGCTCAATATCCTCCCTAGAAATTGAAGGTCATTATAAGAATGCTGATGATTTAAATGTCGTGATAAATAATTTACTTTATGTTCTTAAGCATTTAAAATTTCTTACACTTTCACATTTCGATGGCAACATTCTTGAATCTGTCTTCACTAGCAAATCGTTGCGAAAAATTAAATATTCCTCAATTCATAATGTATCTACGCACCAAAAGATAAGGATGATGATGAGCAGAAGGATACTTTTTTTATGCAATCAATTTTAACGCGATTTGTTTTTTAATACTAGTAAAGTTCAATATCATGTTCACACAATTTATGTTTAAGATTAACGATAATCAATTAATAATTCAAAAAAATAAAATATTTCATGTTTTTAAAAATATAATAAAAAAAATAATTCATCAGAGAAGATCTTTCAATATTTTCTGAACAATACATAGAGAGTTCTATAGGATTGTGTGAATATTCCCATGAAGCCTGATCGGCTTCATTACTAGTTTTTTTTTTTGAAAATAGCCTACTATGATCGAAACCAAAAATGCTTTAAATTGCATTTTAAAACATATCTAGGAATTATAAATAATGAAGAATGCTAATATAGATTTTAAATCGATTTGTTATTTTGAAAATAGCCTACTATGATCGAAACCAAAAATGCTTTAAATTGCATTTTAAAACATATCTAGGAATTATAAATAATGAAGAATGCTAATATAGATTTAAAATCGATTTTTTTTTGAAAATAGCCTTCAATGATCAAAAACCAAAAATGCTTTAAATTGCATTTTAAAACATATCTAGGTATTATAAATGATAAATAATGCTAATATAGATTTAAATTTGATTTTATTTTTTGAAAATAGCCTTCAATGATCAAAAACCAAAAATGCTTTAAATTGCATTTTAAAACATATCTTGGTATTATAAAATATAAAAAATGCTAATATATATTTAAAATCGATTTGTTTTTTTGAAAATAGCCTACTATGATCAAAACCAAAAATGCTTTAAATTGCATTTTAAAACATATCTAGGTATTATAAATGATAAAGAATGCTAATATAGATTTAAAATCGATTTGTTTTTTTGAAAATAGCCTACTATGATCAAAACCAAAAATGCTTTAAATTGCATTTTAAAACATATCTAGGTATTATAAATGATAAAGAATGCTATATAGATTTAAAATCAATTTTTTTTATAAAGCCTTCTATGATCAAAAACCAAAAATGCTTTAAATTGCATTTTAAAACATATCTAGGTATTATAAATGATAAATAATGCTATTATAGATTTAAAATCGATTTTATTATTTTTTTTTGAAAATAGCCTTCTATGATCTAAAACCAAAAATGCTTTAAATTGCATTTTAAAACATATCTAGGTTTAAAAAATGATAAAGAATGCTAATATAGATTAAAAATGGATTTTTTTTTTAAAACAGCCTACTATGATCAAAAACCAAAAATGCTTTAAATTGCATTTTAAAACATATCTAGGTATTATAAATGATAAAGAATTCTAAATAGATTTAAAATAGATTTTTTTTTTCATATTCACACAAAATTTTCAATTTTTGTGAATATGCTTTTAAGAAAATTTTCTTTATTCTGTTAAATGTGCTTTTATTTATGATCGATTCTCTAAGGAATTATTCACCTATTTACCATCATAATACAGTTGATAATTTTTTCCATTTTTTTCTTATTAAATTGTGTTAAATTATTGTTTATTTGTTAGCTAATGGCGGCTTTGAAGTAACACTTGAGGATGAGGTTACGGCTCTAATGCAGCAAGTGGCTGATTTAAAGCTTCAAAATGAAACATTGGGAGTTCAATTAGCCCAATGTGCGCAGCTTCTGCCTCAAATGTCTGATAATGATCCAGTTGGAAGAAAGCCAGCGACGTTAATCTTCGCAAATGAAAAATTTAAATTCGAAAAATAATTGGTAAGGCTAATGAAATTTTTTTTATTTTTTGACTTTATTATTTATTAATTTTTTAATCTATTTACAGCGGACTAATGCGCAACCTGAGGAAATAAGAGAAAAATTAAAGTTAGTATTGACTGAATTTGAAGAGGCAAAGAATTCGGAAGTGGAAGTCCGAAGAGGAAAATCACTGTTATATGCTTTGGCGAAAGACGGCTATAATGAATATTGCGGACAGAAAGCTAGATTTCTCGATGGCCTTGACGCAGTTGGGAGTGCTGAATTTATAGAAATTTAATTTTTAAAAAAAATACAGATTTAAAATCAATTTGTCCGTTAATTTTAACCAATATTTTTATTTGGGACGTAGGCACTCAACATTTTCACTTATTAAATATTTACTCGTTATTTTAACATATTCTTTGTATGTTTATTTAAAACAACAGTAAGTTCAGTTTAATAATTCTTAGTTTTAATCAGTTTTAATATAAAGAGAAACCAAAGATAATTAATTTAATCAAAAGCTTCTTATTTTAGATCATGGACAAACTAATTTCACTTCCGGATGAAATATTAGTAAAATGCTGCGATCTACTATCATTTAAAGATTTACTTAATTTATCACTCATTTCAAAAGACTGGTTTCATTTCATTGGTAACACAAACGAAAGTTTAAATAGAATAATATTGGTTTATTCTGAATGGAATAGAGACGCAATTTTAAATTCTTTGAACATTAGACCGTATAACCATGCAAGAATTGAATTGAGATCCTCATTAGATGATGAGAGCATGCGAAATTTGAAATATTTTATCGATAGTTTATCATGCAATTAAGTGGTGAAATGGCATCAGTGGCCTAAATGGTAGAGCGTTGGCCTTCTGTGCCAAAGGTCCTGGGTTCAATCCCAGGCCATGTCTAATTTTCGAAGCTTTTTCCATTTCACCGTTCTAGTTACGAAGCTCGGTTCGTGTGTTGGGTGTAGTTTTGAGGTCTTTGGCACAGAATATGCCTCCTTTGCTAGGTATACAAGGATATACTAGCATCTGGATGACTTCCTTACGGCATCTTGCGCACACGAATTGTGACTAGGTACATTGCAGGGTACATCAGGTCTTATGACGTACTCGTGTCTTTACAATGTGCAGAGCTTGCAAGTGGTTCGGATCCCACTATAAACTGTAGGTCTAAAGGGTGTGGTACAATAGATTCTGTTCTAATTTGAATCGCAGTGCCTCCAGCTGAAAGGCTGGGCCCTTCACACATTATTATTATTATTATTATTATTATCATGCAATTTGACCAGCATTGCAACAACCATAGATATACCGTTCATATTAAGTTTACCAAAATTAAAGAGACTTAATTTCTATTGCTTGGATGAACTTCATAAAGGAAGCTTTCATTTTGAAAAGTGTGGGCTTCTCAGCAAGTCAACATCATTAGATGAACTCAGTATCGGTGATTCGTGTGATTTAGTTTTATCACACATTGATGAATTTCTACAAAACTTAAAATTTCTGAAGAATTTAAGCGTACACAACACTTCATTTTTGAACGAATATACAGCCAACAGATATCAATTCTCTTTATTATGTTTCTCTTTTACTGCACACACTGCTGTGCCAATGTATTTACAATTTTTTTTAAATGACCATCGAAAGAGTATCGAAAAACTTCAATATGGACCTGTTTTAAGTTATCATGAGTTGAGAACACTTTTATCATTCCCAAACCTCAGTGAACTAAAATTGTTGCGAATTTCGTTTGAGGCTAAAGAGCATCAAAATTATCCAGTTAACTGCTCAATATCCTCCCTAGAAATTGAAGGTCATTATAAGAATGCTGATGATTTAAATGTCGTGATAAATAATTTACTTTATGTTCTTAAGCATTTAAAATTTCTTACACTTTCACATTTCGATGGCAACATTCTTGAATCTGTCTTCACTAGCAAATCGTTGCGAAAAATTAAATATTCCTCAATTCATAATGTATCTACGCACCAAAAGATAAGGATGATGATGAGCAGAAGGATACTTTTTTTATGCAATCAATTTTAACGCGATTTGTTTTTTAATACTAGTAAAGTTCAATATCATGTTCACACAATTTATGTTTAAGATTAACGATAATCAATTAATAATTCAAAAAAATAAAATATTTCATGTTTTTAAAAATATAATAAAAAAAATAATTCATCAGAGAAGATCTTTCAATATTTTCTGAACAATACATAGAGAGTTCTATAGGATTGTGTGAATATTCCCATGAAGCCTGATCGGCTTCATTACTAGTTTTTTTTTTTGAAAATAGCCTACTATGATCGAAACCAAAAATGCTTTAAATTGCATTTTAAAACATATCTAGGAATTATAAATAATGAAGAATGCTAATATAGATTTTAAATCGATTTGTTATTTTGAAAATAGCCTACTATGATCGAAACCAAAAATGCTTTAAATTGCATTTTAAAACATATCTAGGAATTATAAATAATGAAGAATGCTAATATAGATTTAAAATCGATTTTTTTTTGAAAATAGCCTTCAATGATCAAAAACCAAAAATGCTTTAAATTGCATTTTAAAACATATCTAGGTATTATAAATGATAAATAATGCTAATATAGATTTAAATTTGATTTTATTTTTTGAAAATAGCCTTCAATGATCAAAAACCAAAAATGCTTTAAATTGCATTTTAAAACATATCTTGGTATTATAAAATATAAAAAATGCTAATATATATTTAAAATCGATTTGTTTTTTTGAAAATAGCCTACTATGATCAAAACCAAAAATGCTTTAAATTGCATTTTAAAACATATCTAGGTATTATAAATGATAAAGAATGCTAATATAGATTTAAAATCGATTTGTTTTTTTGAAAATAGCCTACTATGATCAAAACCAAAAATGCTTTAAATTGCATTTTAAAACATATCTAGGTATTATAAATGATAAAGAATGCTATATAGATTTAAAATCAATTTTTTTTATAAAGCCTTCTATGATCAAAAACCAAAAATGCTTTAAATTGCATTTTAAAACATATCTAGGTATTATAAATGATAAATAATGCTAATATAGATTTAAAATCGATTTTATTTTTTTTTTGAAAATAGCCTTCTATGATCTAAAACCAAAAATGCTTTAAATTGCATTTTAAAACATATCTAGGTTTAAAAAATGATAAAGAATGCTAATATAGATTTAAAATGGATTTTTTTTTTTAAAACAGCCTACTATGATCAAAAACCAAAAATGCTTTAAATTGCATTTTAAAACATATCTAGGTATTATAAATGATAAAGAATTCTAAATAGATTTAAAATCAATTTTTTTTTTGAAAATAGCCTACTATGATCAAAAACCAAAAATGCTTTAAATTGCATTTTAAAACATATCTAGGTTTAAAAAATGATAAAGAATGCTAATAAAGATTTAAAATGGATTTTTTTTTGAAAATAGCCTTCTATGATCAAAAACCAAAAATGCTTTAAATTGCATTTTAAAACATATCTAGGTTTAAAAAATGATAAAGAATGCTAATAAAGATTTAAAATGGATTTTTTTTTTGAAAATAGCCTTCTATGATCAAAAACCAAGAATGCTTTAAATTGCATTTTAAAACATATCTTGGTATTATAAATGATTAATAATGCTAATATAGATTTAAAATCGATTTTTTTTTTGAAAATAGCCTTCTATGATCAAAAACCAAAAATGCTTTAAATTGCATTTTAAAACATATCTAGGTATTATAAATGATAAATAATTCTAATATAGATTTAAAATCGATTTTTTTTTTGAAAATAGCCTGCTATGATCAAAAACCAAAAATGCTTTAAATTGCATTTTAAAACATATCTAGGTATTATAAATGATAAAAAATGCTAATATAGATTTAAAATCGATTTTTTTTTGAAAATAGCCTACTATGATCGAAACCAAAAATGCTTTAAATTGTATTTTAAAACATATCTAGGTATTATAAATGATAAAGAATGCTAATATAGATTTAAAATAGATTTTTTTTTTCATATTCACACAAAATTTTCAATTTTTGTGAATATGCTTTTAAGAAAATTTTCTTTATTCTGTTAAATGTGCTTTTATTTATGATCGATTCTCTAAGGAATTATTCACCTATTTACCATCATAATACAGTTGATAATTTTTTCCATTTTTTTCTTATTAAATTGTGTTAAATTATTGTTTATTTGTTAGCTAATGGCGGCTTTGAAGTAACACTTGAGGATGAGGTTACGGCTCTAATGCAGCAAGTGGCTGATTTAAAGCTTCAAAATGAAACATTGGGAGTTCAATTAGCCCAATGTGCGCAGCTTCTGCCTCAAATGTCTGATAATGATCCAGTTGGAAGAAAGCCAGCGACGTTAATCTTCGCAAATGAAAAATTTAAATTCGAAAAATAATTGGTAAGGCTAATGAAATTTTTTTTATTTTTTGACTTTATTATTTATTAATTTTTTAATCTATTTACAGCGGACTAATGCGCAACCTGAGGAAATAAGAGAAAAATTAAAGTTAGTATTGACTGAATTTGAAGAGGCAAAGAATTCGGAAGTGGAAGTCCGAAGAGGAAAATCACTGTTATATGCTTTGGCGAAAGACGGCTATAATGAATATTGCGGACAGAAAGCTAGATTTCTCGATGGCCTTGACGCAGTTGGGAGTGCTGAATTTATAGAAATTTAATTTTTAAAAAAAATACAGATTTAAAATCAATTTGTCCGTTAATTTTAACCAATATTTTTATTTGGGACGTAGGCACTCAACATTTTCACTTATTAAATATTTACTCGTTATTTTAACATATTCTTTGTATGTTTATTTAAAACAACAGTAAGTTCAGTTTAATAATTCTTAGTTTTAATCAGTTTTAATATAAAGAGAAAGCAAAGATAATTAATTTAATCAAAAACTTCTTATTTTAGATCATGGACAAACTAATTTCACTTCCGGATGAAATATTAGTAAAATGCTGCGATCTACTATCATTTAAAGATTTACTTAATTTATCACTCATTTCAAAAGACTGGTTTCATTTCATTGGTAACACAAACGAAAGTTTAAATAGAATAATATTGGTTTATTCTGAATGGAATAGAGACGCAATTTTAAATTCTTTGAACATTAGACCGTATAACCATGCAAGAATTGAATTGAGATCCTCATTAGATGATGAGAGCATGCGAAATTTGAAATATTTTATCGATAGTTTATCATGCAATTAAGTGGTGAAATGGCATCAGTGGCCTAAATGGTAGAGCGTTGGCCTTCTGTGCCAAAGGTCCTGGGTTCAATCCCAGGCCATGTCTAATTTTCGAAGCTTTTTCCATTTCACCGTTCTAGTTACGAAGCTCGGTTCGTGTGTTGGGTGTAGTTTTGAGGTCTTTGGCACAGAATATGCCTCCTTTGCTAGGTATACAAGGATATACTAGCATCTGGATGACTTCCTTACGGCATCTTGCGCACACGAATTGTGACTAGGTACATTGCAGGGTACATCAGGTCTTATGACGTACTCGTGTCTTTACAATGTGCAGAGCTTGCAAGTGGTTCGGATCCCACTATAAACTGTAGGTCTAAAGGGTGTGGTACAATAGATTCTGTTCTAATTTGAATCGCAGTGCCTCCAGCTGAAAGGCTGGGCCCTTCACACATTATTATTATTATTATTATTATTATCATGCAATTTGACCAGCATTGCAACAACCATAGATATACCGTTCATATTAAGTTTACCAAAATTAAAGAGACTTAATTTCTATTGCTTGGATGAACTTCATAAAGGAAGCTTTCATTTTGAAAAGTGTGGGCTTCTCAGCAAGTCAACATCATTAGATGAACTCAGTATCGGTGATTCGTGTGATTTAGTTTTATCACACATTGATGAATTTCTACAAAACTTAAAATTTCTGAAGAATTTAAGCGTACACAACACTTCATTTTTGAACGAATATACAGCCAACAGATATCAATTCTCTTTATTATGTTTCTCTTTTACTGCACACACTGCTGTGCCAATGTATTTACAATTTTTTTTAAATGACCATCGAAAGAGTATCGAAAAACTTCAATATGGACCTGTTTTAAGTTATCATGAGTTGAGAACACTTTTATCATTCCCAAACCTCAGTGAACTAAAATTGTTGCGAATTTCGTTTGAGGCTAAAGAGCATCAAAATTATCCAGTTAACTGCTCAATATCCTCCCTAGAAATTGAAGGTCATTATAAGAATGCTGATGATTTAAATGTCGTGATAAATAATTTACTTTATGTTCTTAAGCATTTAAAATTTCTTACACTTTCACATTTCGATGGCAACATTCTTGAATCTGTCTTCACTAGCAAATCGTTGCGAAAAATTAAATATTCCTCAATTCATAATGTATCTACGCACCAAAAGATAAGGATGATGATGAGCAGAAGGATACTTTTTTTATGCAATCAATTTTAACGCGATTTGTTTTTTAATACTAGTAAAGTTCAATATCATGTTCACACAATTTATGTTTAAGATTAACGATAATCAATTAATAATTCAAAAAAATAAAATATTTCATGTTTTTAAAAATATAATAAAAAAAATAATTCATCAGAGAAGATCTTTCAATATTTTCTGAACAATACATAGAGAGTTCTATAGGATTGTGTGAATATTCCCATGAAGCCTGATCGGCTTCATTACTAGTTTTTTTTTTTGAAAATAGCCTACTATGATCGAAACCAAAAATGCTTTAAATTGCATTTTAAAACATATCTAGGAATTATAAATAATGAAGAATGCTAATATAGATTTTAAATCGATTTGTTATTTTGAAAATAGCCTACTATGATCGAAACCAAAAATGCTTTAAATTGCATTTTAAAACATATCTAGGAATTATAAATAATGAAGAATGCTAATATAGATTTAAAATCGATTTTTTTTTGAAAATAGCCTTCAATGATCAAAAACCAAAAATGCTTTAAATTGCATTTTAAAACATATCTAGGTATTATAAATGATAAATAATGCTAATATAGATTTAAATTTGATTTTATTTTTTGAAAATAGCCTTCAATGATCAAAAACCAAAAATGCTTTAAATTGCATTTTAAAACATATCTAGGTATTATAAACGATAAAAAATGCTAATATAGATTTAAAATCGATTTTTTTTTGAAAATAGCCTACTATGATCAAAAACCAAAAATGCTATAAATTGCATTTTAAAACATATCTAGGTATTATAAATGATAAATAATTCTAATATAGATTTAAAATCGATTTTTTTTTTTGAAAATAGCCTGCTATGATCAAAAATCAAAAATGCTTTAAATTGCATTTTAAAACATATCTAGGTATTATAAATGATAAAAAATGCTAATATAGATTTAAAATCGATTTTTTTTTGAAAATAGCCTTCTATGATCAAAAACCAAAAATGCTTTAAATTGCATTTTAAAACATATCTAGGTATTATAAATGATAAATAATTCTAATATAGATTTAAAATCGATTTTTTTTTTGAAAACAGCCTGCTATGATCAAAAACCAAAAATGCTTTAAATTGCATTTTAAAACATATCTAGGTATTATAAATGATAAAAAATGCTAATATAGATTTAAAATCGATTTTTTTTTGAAAATAGCCTACTATGATCGAAACCAAAAATGCTTTAAATTGTATTTTAAAACATATCTAGGTATTATAAATGATAAAGAATGCTAATATAGATTTAAAATAGATTTTTTTTTTCATATTCACACAAAATTTTCAATTTTTGTGAATATGCTTTTAAGAAAATTTTCTTTATTCTGTTAAATGTGCTTTTATTTATGATCGATTCTCTAAGGAATTATTCACCTATTTACCATCATAATACAGTTGATAATTTTTTCCATTTTTTTCTTATTAAATTGTGTTAAATTATTGTTTATTTGTTAGCTAATGGCGGCTTTGAAGTAACACTTGAGGATGAGGTTACGGCTCTAATGCAGCAAGTGGCTGATTTAAAGCTTCAAAATGAAACATTGGGAGTTCAATTAGCCCAATGTGCGCAGCTTCTGCCTCAAATGTCTGATAATGATCCAGTTGGAAGAAAGCCAGCGACGTTAATCTTCGCAAATGAAAAATTTAAATTCGAAAAATAATTGGTAAGGCTAATGAAATTTTTTTTATTTTTTGACTTTATTATTTATTAATTTTTTAATCTATTTACAGCGGACTAATGCGCAACCTGAGGAAATAAGAGAAAAATTAAAGTTAGTATTGACTGAATTTGAAGAGGCAAAGAATTCGGAAGTGGAAGTCCGAAGAGGAAAATCACTGTTATATGCTTTGGCGAAAGACGGCTATAATGAATATTGCGGACAGAAAGCTAGATTTCTCGATGGCCTTGACGCAGTTGGGAGTGCTGAATTTATAGAAATTTAATTTTTAAAAAAAATACAGATTTAAAATCAATTTGTCCGTTAATTTTAACCAATATTTTTATTTGGGACGTAGGCACTCAACATTTTCACTTATTAAATATTTACTCGTTATTTTAACATATTCTTTGTATGTTTATTTAAAACAACAGTAAGTTCAGTTTAATAATTCTTAGTTTTAATCAGTTTTAATATAAAGAGAAAGCAAAGATAATTAATTTAATCAAAAACTTCTTATTTTAGATCATGGACAAACTAATTTCACTTCCGGATGAAATATTAGTAAAATGCTGCGATCTACTATCATTTAAAGATTTACTTAATTTATCACTCATTTCAAAAGACTGGTTTCATTTCATTGGTAACACAAACGAAAGTTTAAATAGAATAATATTGGTTTATTCTGAATGGAATAGAGACGCAATTTTAAATTCTTTGAACATTAGACCGTATAACCATGCAAGAATTGAATTGAGATCCTCATTAGATGATGAGAGCATGCGAAATTTGAAATATTTTATCGATAGTTTATCATGCAATTAAGTGGTGAAATGGCATCAGTGGCCTAAATGGTAGAGCGTTGGCCTTCTGTGCCAAAGGTCCTGGGTTCAATCCCAGGCCATGTCTAATTTTCGAAGCTTTTTCCATTTCACCGTTCTAGTTACGAAGCTCGGTTCGTGTGTTGGGTGTAGTTTTGAGGTCTTTGGCACAGAATATGCCTCCTTTGCTAGGTATACAAGGATATACTAGCATCTGGATGACTTCCTTACGGCATCTTGCGCACACGAATTGTGACTAGGTACATTGCAGGGTACATCAGGTCTTATGACGTACTCGTGTCTTTACAATGTGCAGAGCTTGCAAGTGGTTCGGATCCCACTATAAACTGTAGGTCTAAAGGGTGTGGTACAATAGATTCTGTTCTAATTTGAATCGCAGTGCCTCCAGCTGAAAGGCTGGGCCCTTCACACATTATTATTATTATTATTATTATTATTATCATGCAATTTGACCAGCATTGCAACAACCATAGATATACCGTTCATATTAAGTTTACCAAAATTAAAGAGACTTAATTTCTATTGCTTGGATGAACTTCATAAAGGAAGCTTTCATTTTGAAAAGTGTGGGCTTCTCAGCAAGTCAACATCATTAGATGAACTCAGTATCGGTGATTCGTGTGATTTAGTTTTATCACACATTGATGAATTTCTACAAAACTTAAAATTTCTGAAGAATTTAAGCGTACACAACACTTCATTTTTGAACGAATATACAGCCAACAGATATCAATTCTCTTTATTATGTTTCTCTTTTACTGCACACACTGCTGTGCCAATGTATTTACAATTTTTTTTAAATGACCATCGAAAGAGTATCGAAAAACTTCAATATGGACCTGTTTTAAGTTATCATGAGTTGAGAACACTTTTATCATTCCCAAACCTCAGTGAACTAAAATTGTTGCGAATTTCGTTTGAGGCTAAAGAGCATCAAAATTATCCAGTTAACTGCTCAATATCCTCCCTAGAAATTGAAGGTCATTATAAGAATGCTGATGATTTAAATGTCGTGATAAATAATTTACTTTATGTTCTTAAGCATTTAAAATTTCTTACACTTTCACATTTCGATGGCAACATTCTTGAATCTGTCTTCACTAGCAAATCGTTGCGAAAAATTAAATATTCCTCAATTCATAATGTATCTACGCACCAAAAGATAAGGATGATGATGAGCAGAAGGATACTTTTTTTATGCAATCAATTTTAACGCGATTTGTTTTTTAATACTAGTAAAGTTCAATATCATGTTCACACAATTTATGTTTAAGATTAACGATAATCAATTAATAATTCAAAAAAATAAAATATTTCATGTTTTTAAAAATATAATAAAAAAAATAATTCATCAGAGAAGATCTTTCAATATTTTCTGAACAATACATAGAGAGTTCTATAGGATTGTGTGAATATTCCCATGAAGCCTGATCGGCTTCATTACTAGTTTTTTTTTTTGAAAATAGCCTACTATGATCGAAACCAAAAATGCTTTAAATTGCATTTTAAAACATATCTAGGAATTATAAATAATGAAGAATGCTAATATAGATTTTAAATCGATTTGTTATTTTGAAAATAGCCTACTATGATCGAAACCAAAAATGCTTTAAATTGCATTTTAAAACATATCTAGGAATTATAAATAATGAAGAATGCTAATATAGATTTAAAATCGATTTTTTTTTGAAAATAGCCTTCAATGATCAAAAACCAAAAATGCTTTAAATTGCATTTTAAAACATATCTAGGTATTATAAATGATAAATAATGCTAATATAGATTTAAATTTGATTTTATTTTTTGAAAATAGCCTTCAATGATCAAAAACCAAAAATGCTTTAAATTGCATTTTAAAACATATCTTGGTATTATAAAATATAAAAAATGCTAATATATATTTAAAATCGATTTGTTTTTTTGAAAATAGCCTACTATGATCAAAACCAAAAATGCTTTAAATTGCATTTTAAAACATATCTAGGTATTATAAATGATAAAGAATGCTAATATAGATTTAAAATCGATTTTTTTTTTTGAAAATAGCCCTCATCGCGAGTATATCATGCAAATTTCTATGAGCTAATTTTCGATGCCATGTACACAGCATCTATCCACTCTGTCATTAACTAAACATGATCTTTCGACTTCAGCTCTTACAAAATACATATTTGCTTTATTACAGAGCTATGAGTCGAACATCTCAGATCCTTTTCTTGATGCAGACTTGATAAAATTGCACTCATAATCATGGTTTCTTCAAGCTGATCACCACAATTTCCAACAATTTTTGGAAATGTTTCTGCATGTCACCACTAAATGGATGAATTCCATGCTTCTTTACCGTCTTTAGTATCCGAAACATGTACCAGTTGATCATTATCAACCATCAAAGCAATATGCGCCAATGCTTTCAAGCTTTGATCTTCCTTGATCAAAATCATCTTTTTTCGAAGTACCCATCCACGATAACTTAGTTCAATCGTTCATACATGACGTATCATTTTTCTTTAAACTTTTTTGCGTTAAGGGCCATAACCTCTTGGATAATTAAAATAATGGATTCTTTATTTTAATCCTTGCAGAATAGCAAAATGAAATTTTAATTCAAATAATCATTTTTCTCGATTACAATATTTACAATGATAACTATTAGATTTCTACGATCAATATATATATATATATATTGAACTTAATTATTCAATAGAAATACAGGAAGAGCGCTAGTTAAGAAAGTCAGAAAAGATGAAAAAAAAAGTATTTTGAGTAAAATTGGACAAAAATATGAAATTTTTTCACTTTTTTAAGATTGCAAAAATACTTTAATAAGATTTTAAATTGTTTTTTTTTTGCAGAACGTGTTATAACAGTTTCCTTTACTTGTTAGATAAGTATTTTCGGACCTTTTGTTTAAGGGATCATTATAGTCATTATTGTCTTACGTTAGATCAGCTGATTTTGGACTTTTTCTCTAAGGGATCATTAAAGTCTTCGGTTCTTAAAAATAAAAATTATATTCGATGTTTATTTCTTCCAAATACTCAGTCGTTTTGCATCTCAAAACACCGAATAAATCAAATGAAATGCAAAAGAAAGTAAAATCCGTAAATGAAATCAAAAATTAAGAGACAAAAGGCAAATTGAATGCCTGAAACCTTAAAAAAACAAAAAGCAACAAAATGTATAGAAACTTTATACATACTTAAATTTAAATGTAAATAAATAAAAAGTTTAATTTAAAAAATAAAAAAAAAATCTTCCAAATACTTTCTCCGTTTAAAAATAAATTAAAATTCATAAAAGTTTTAAGTATTTTTCAATTCATAAAACACAAAAAATCTTAAAGAAATAAAAAAATGTCATATATTGAACCCCCCCCCCCCCCCTTAAAGTACACTTCAGCCTTTACCTTTATTTAAACACTATTGTTTTTGTTCAGATTGAAAAATCTGAATTTTTTAGAATTTTGAGTGGAAACGAAGGAGAATGAAGAATGACTAAAGTTATTCGCAGTATAAAAGTTTGTACCTGCATACCCTCGTCATAAATAAATAAAAGAGTTTGGAAATATTTAAAAAGAAGTTTCAAATCAATATTTTTATTTTCTTAATTTATTTTACTACAAGTATAAAAACATTTTTTTTCTCTTCCATTCACCTAAAAAAAGATTTTCATTATGTTCTTTTGAATATATATTTACTAGTTAAGAGCTTCTTCTTTTCATTAATTTTTGTGGTAATAATTATGAAAAATGCATCTAAAATAAAGTATTATTATTCTTCGCTTTAAAACTCTACTTTTTTGTTAATTTTACTTTTTAATTGAATTTTAAAGAAGAAAATGATTACATCTCTAAATAATAAACTTCTTCAAACAATCAAAGATATTATATCATAATCTTTTTTTTATTATTATTTCGTCTTTATCGATACATTTAATTATGTCTTTTTTTCAAAAATGACAACTATGTTTGCAATTAAATCTTATGCGTTCATTTAATTTAATCGATTTAAAAGTTTGTCTAGAAAATTCATGATTTTTTTCTTTTTTTAAATTTTGTTTGTATGTTAGGTATGATATAAATTGAGCTAAAGGAATAAATATAGAATTTTTTTATATTATTAGTATTTTCCAAATTCAGTATCAATATTATATTGAATTAAAATAAAAACATACCGTAACAAAGAAAATAATTTTACATTTAAAAACTAAATTTATGTATATGAGACAAATTCATCAACAATTAAGCATCGATATTAATTAATATCTTCATTAAAAAGTTCAATTGGAAATTTTTTGGTATTTAATTTATAGATAATCGGCCGCAGTAAAATCATGCGTTTGTATTATCTGTTGTCAGGATAAACAGTTACAAAATCAATTTTTGGTTACATAATTTAATCTCTCATTACTCTTATTTTCAATATAACTATGTAGAATATTTCTTAAATAATTTTGTAAATGCTACTAAATTTCTTTATTATTAAATATAATTGTTGCATCTAATTCTCCTTTAATTTATGTCTTACTTTGCACTTATTTGCTTACTCAATCTACAATAAATCGACTAAGATGATATCAAACAAGGAAACAATTGGCAAAAAAAAATTTATTTGTTTCTAAAAGTAAAATAATTAATTTTAAAGACGTAAGCTCCCTAATGTCATAATTTTTATAAAGAAAACCGTTCCGAAAAAGCTAGAATTTTTTGCAAACAGTAATTAATTTTTTTTTTTAAATTTGAAACTAAAGGATAATCATTATCATAATATATGTATGTGATATATATAATTTTTTAATATTCTAATTTAAAATTGCTTTTGAATATTAAACTAATTCCTTTTTAATGATACTCAAATAATCTTCATTCGTGTGTTTTGTTTTTATTTTATTTATTTTTTTCGACAAAAACGCATCTTAAAGATTATATTTATTTTTCAATTTTTATCATAGCTCGAATTTATTTAAATTTATTTTAATTCTATTATCCGAATATTTTTTTTTATCTATTTGAAATTAAATGGCAATACCATCAAATATATATTTGTGTGGCAAACTCCAGAAAACTCAAGAATTGTTTATATTTTTTTCAAAACATATTTTAAGTTCCACTTTAATCAAAACTTTATAGATTAAAGTATGCTTGGAATGGGAAACTAATACAAACCTCCCTTGAGTAAACTGGTGATTTTCATCATTTTTGATAGGTTTTAAAAATTATTTCAAAATCCTACGATTAAGAAAAAGTTCGAAAATAGTACATGACTTTTATCATATTCATTTAGACTTATATAAATTTAAGAACCTTTTATAAATATACTTTATATGACTTCGAAAGCAATAATTTAAATGGACACATATCGATGTGTTTCTTTGATATTTGTATGTTTTTTAAGGAATTCTTTGAATAACTGACAATGCATGTATGTTTTCAAAGAGTAACAGTATATAGCGAATGTAAGACTTCTTTCCATCGTTTCTTTAAGTTTTTTGAACTTAATATAGTATAAATATATTGTTGAAATTTTTGAATCAATAAGAAAATTTGATGCATACAATGTTCATCCAAATGTTAGTAGAGCCTTCAAAAATGTTATATCGACTATGAGATAAAGACCAGAAAAAGTTGAAGTATTGTAAACATTAAGAATGTTCTTAGTTATCATATTTTTTTAAACATTAATTTCAAATCAGGTACAATAGAATTCTACATGACTTCTTTTGGTTTTTATCTTGAAAAGTCTATGTTTTGTTCTCAAAAGATTGCATTAAAATTTCAAAAAATTCCAATTGTTGAGTTGAAAAATGTTTTTAAAAGAGAATAATTAATGTTGACTTATTTGACTCGTTCCTTATCGAATGTCACAAAAATAATAAAAGCTTTACTAAGAATTATGATTTTTTTAAAAATGCAGTACAAGGTTGATCTTCATATTTATCAAGAAATAGGCCAAAAACACCTGCACTACCAATTATATTAATTGGAAATTCATATTATACTACAAATTGGACTAAATGAAAACTGTTAAAATTTGAGTTAAAAGCAAAATTTAGATCTTCGATATTCACTGCCTTTGTTGTCTTATTGAGTGTGATGTGCTTACTTAATTGGCAATTTAAATATTAGTGTTGCCTTTGCCCGAAAATAAAAGGTTGGCATTAAATAAGAACAAATAAAACACTTTTCAACGTAAATAGAGATATTTTTGAAATACATCAAAAGCATATAGAAGTCTGACATTGAGAATATCTCATTATAGGGTTTTTTATAAAATTTCCATAAAAGTAAGTTGATTAATTTTTAGGATTGAACGTAAAAATTCACATAGAAACTTGTCAAGTAACATGAAACGAATGAACGAACTTTAAGTATATTTAATACTTTATGATTTTTTTTTTTAAAGATATTGTATAAGAGAGAAAATATGATTAAATGTATGAAGTGGGTTATGAAGTTGAAAATTGCAGATATAACAACATTAATAGGTCGCAGATTTTGTTATATAAATTTAGATTTTGGTTCTTAATCAATTGAATGTCTCTAATAATGGGTAATTATGGGGAGTATATAGTCATATAGTTTTAAAAAAATTTTTTGCACATGTACTGTCTACAATAATTTCTAATGCAATCATTGTATCTCTTAAAATTTAAGTACCTATCGAAAAAAGTTCAAAAATATTCTTTTTTTGTGTGTGTTTGTTCGTTTTTTAAAAGAAACAGTTAACATAGAAAATGGGGGATTTGCTATACTTAATGAATTAATTTAACGTCATATTTTGAATCAATACTGAAAATTGTCTTTAAAACTCCTTGATATAAAGCATAGTTTGATGATTTCTTAATCAGTTGTCATCGTATAGCTAATTAAAAATAATGGGAGTTTCAATAAAATCATTTCAATTTTTCAATTTACGAACAATGTACGAATATTGTTTGTTTCTTATCATTGAAAACTTTTCAAAATTCATTAAAAATTACAAGTTTTGACGGCATAAATGTATAAATATGAATGTAATTGTGTTGCTAGATTATTGCTGTTTTATTTTTTTGTCAATTATAGAAATTTCGAAATGGCATTCACATCATTCATTTAATTTTTTTTTTGTATATGCTTACGAGAGAAATGTATAGTTCAAAAATTTATAATAAAAATATGTCATTCCTTCTTGACAGTATTCATATCAAATGGAAATTTTAATTATTTTTTTTCATTATTTTTGTTTTGAATGATTTTTATATTAAATTTTTATGTTTTTTTTTTTTTAATAATATAGTAGAAAAAATACATCTATTTAAATTTTTGTTGTCAAAAATTTACATTTAAGATAGATATAATCAGATATAATTATACTAATATACTAACTATTCTTTCTTTTATTGATTTATTAATTTTTCTTCATTCTTTCATAGAAGGTCTATACTTTTTTAATACAAAAAGTACCTATAATTATACATTCTTACTGCGAATTTAAGACAGAAAAATAGAATTATGAGATATAAAAACGCGTGCAACTTCCATCCTTTTTTTTCACTCTAAAAACCGGGAGCGTGTCACTTAACTCTTATGTCAACTAAATAAAAACTTGGAAAACGAACAGGTTTTATGAGGGAGAAGACTGATTAATACCGCTCACAAAAATACACTTAATTCTTGGTAGCTTGATAATTTTATAAAGTTCAAAATTGAAGTTTTATTTTATTATAAAAGATAACGTTTAAAAAATTCAGGACTTTTTAATTCTTAATAAAGGCTTTTGTCTTTTTTCTTGTATTCAATGAATTCATGCTCGATCATTTAAAGAAACTATTTTACCTTATTACATCTTATATATAAATATAAGACTTTCTCCATGATTCATCCCTTAATTGTATGAAAAGAAAAATAATATTAAAATAGAAATAGAAAATAATAAAAAACTGAAAAATAACAATTTTTATTTCATTTTAAATCTGCATAATTAATTCCTTGATAATCAAAGAATTCTATTTTTGGCGATATTTTTGTGTTGTCTTAAACAGGCTACATATAAACTTACACGTACTTAAAATACACGTGTATTCGAGTAATTGATTTTACTCATCTATCTATTGTATTTATAAATAATTAATGAATTATAAAAAAAACACTGTTTTGCAAAAATATGTAAAAAATCAGTATCAAAAACCAGAAAAGTGAAAAATTTAATAAAAATATTTCGTCTTATTCTAATTAATAAAAAAGAAGGATAAAAAACAAAACAATTTATAAAGTAACTACAAATACATAAGGGATTTCATTTTGTCTTTGATCTACTTTCAAAAGACTCTTAAAAATATCACAATCAGGCAACTAGTTTTACATTTTTCATTACTATGTTGTAACAAATAAAAAAAAACATTATTAATATTATTAAATATGCAATTCAATAAAACTTGGGATATTTGTAATGCATCAATGAACAATTAGATTAGGTCAATGACCAAACGCATTTTTCATATTATATTTTCATCTTGTAAACGATCAGTAATTGTCAAAAAAAAAATTTTAAACTTGTATCTAGAGCAATAAAGATTATATATATGAGAAAAATTTAAACGCTTCGCGATAATTGTTAAAATTAAGATTTGTTTCTATGATAACTAAAGTTGGTCGATCTATGGGTGATATGTGATGTGCAAAGAATTTACAAAAAAAAAGAAATATCAAAGTGAATCTATCAGCATAATCGTTATGCTTAAAATTAAATAAAAGGTCAAAAAAAGCAATATATTCAATCAAATAGAATATTTGGTGTGAATATGAAAAAAAACATGAACAATTTTTGCTAATTTTAAAGGTACTGCGTAATTTTTAATATTAAAGGAAGGGTAGAAATTTTTACTAAATTGAAAATATAAAAAAGTCTAAGTATTAATTGATCAAGAATTAGTACACTAGCATTGATATTAGTTGCCAGTGTATTGTATGATGATTTAACGTTTTAATGGTAATCATAACTAGTAAACGTACCATTGTGCTTTAAAAGCTTAATATTTTAAACTAGTTTTATCTATTATCAACATCAAATTGAATGAATATATTTTCAATCGATTTTTTTTCTTTGTAATTAATCTGATTCTTATGTTTTACTCTCACTTTATGAATGCTTTATATAGTTATAATTTAGAAAACGTAAAATTAAGCCTAAATCAGCCAAAAAACAAGATTGTAGCATTTTTAATCATTTTGTCAAAGTCTTGTTATTTTTCACATCAAGTGAAATAATAAAAAGAGTTTTATTGTTATTACTAAAGTGTTTCTAAGTTAAATATACAAAAAATATATAAACAAAAATACAAAAAAACTCAACTAAAAAAGACGTGATTGGATTAAACAAACAGTAAAATTAATAAAGAGTTTCTATCCTTTTTTTTTGGTTTTTAAATCGACCATACATATTCGAGTTCTACATAAAAGAATTACAACGTTACTAATCCATTCTTTTCATCATATGATTTTTTTAAATATTTTTTTTTGAAGATTTCATCTAAAATATTTTTGACTAAGTGCAAAAATGTTTGAAATAAATAAAATTAACTAATTTTCTTGTTTGTTTGTATCATTTGTAGTTTACCATCATTGCGACAGTCCAAATTGAAGGACTAGATATTGGGTTTACTTATTGAGAGATTATTTCGGATATTAACACCAACGAAATGGAACGGCACGAGGGCGATCAGCTCCTTCTTTTACCAATGGCTTATGATATTCTCGTCCAGGTCTTGCATGAATCGTTGCCCAACAATGTTCACAATAATACTACGAAAGAAAAAAAAAACGTTTGCTTAATAAGCATCAAAATTAAATTGGACAATGAAAATTCACCTGTAAACATGTTACATTTGCGCAAAAGAACGGTGCAAATTTTCCACTACATCTTTGACCTTGACATTCATCACACATTTGATCATCGAGAACGTACGGCTTAACTTCAACACGCTTGTCAATATCATTGTGTTGTAATTGAACGAAACGAGCAGAAATGGCAGCAATATAGCTCTGTTGATTAGAAAAGGCAACGCGACCAGCTCCCTAAAACCATGTTGATTGAGTAAACAGTTTTAGTGAAGGTAATAAAGATTAAAGGCCTAGCTACAATTACCTTTGGATATTTTAGCTCTGGATCAGTATCAATTCCAGCATAACAAACTCCACCATATAAACGATCCATGATCATTGCTAATTCCACTATTTTTTTTATAATGAAAATAAGGCATAATTTAATGATAATAAAATGTTAATTAAAATAAAATTATTAAAACTTACACGCTTTCAAAGGACGTGGAACGCCTCCAACAAAAACTGTTTTTCGTGGATCTAATGGCATTGATCCATTCAAAACAAAATCTGCATCAGATAAACGCCATGGACGAATTTGAACAGGTTTATTCTTAATAGTAGGTGATGAGACACAAATATACAATTTGTCTTCCTCAACAATACAGTTTTCAATTAATGTCTGAACTGAGCTTTCATCCTAACGTAATGATGAGTAATTAAGAAAAATTATAATATTATTTATGTCAAAAAGTGGGTAGCTTAAATAACTCACTTGAAATAGTAAGAATGCATATCCTTTAGGTGGAAAATACGATTTCGATTCTGCCTTATGTGGCCAGTCAACAACCAATGGTCCGTATCGTCGGAAAGACGATGTAATTTCATCTTTAAAAAAATGGAATTTTAATTATTTTAAATCAAGTAACATGAAAAAAAAATCATTTGTACCTTCATCAATATCTGGAGGCAATCCTCCTACAAACACTTTCCTCGAAAATCTTTCGCCATTGTCAGATCCTTGTGATGGAGATGAACGTGCTGGAGATCCAATTTGTAAGCTATTTTCCAAGAAATTTCCACCACTTTCGCAATTTGTTTCTGTTGTATCATCGCACTGATAAAATGGTTTTCCTTTGAAATACAAATAATTATGATTAATTGTAGCAAATTTTCAGGATACCTTTAATTTTTTATTTTTTTTTTTTCATTGAAATACCCATAAATTTCTCTATATCAAAAGAATATTGGCCATCAATCATTTTGATTTCTTCTATAACACACAATTACAACAATAGACTAATAACTAATGCTTAATTATCAATATATCTATGTTAATTATATTATTTCTTAAGTTTTATACTAAAACACAAGCTTTTCTTCCAGTCAATTTGAAAGTATTGGTGCGGGGTTGGTAAGTAATGTGGAGAGAGTCACCAAATTAGGTTTATTTAAAAAAAAATTTAAACCGTTACAAAAATTGAGCTTTAGCAGTTTTAAATTAATTATTTAATAAGTTAACTGGAGCCAATTTGCTACACAACTTACCAGGTATGAACTCATGGAAATCTAATTTACCTATTTGAGAAGTTTATATGTATAAAAGAAAATGTTTGAGTATAAATCTGAATTAACTTTTTGGTCAATATTAATGTAATTAATTATGCGATGAAAATGATAAGAAAATCTTACCTTGTAATTGAGCTAAAGATTGTAAAGTTGGAGTCGAATTGAGAAATCCTATAATAAAGAAACATTAAAATATTAGAATTATTTGTAAGGATATATAATAATAATAATTTATTCTATATGTACAGTTACAATATATCTATAGAGATAACAAAACTTTTCGTCGAAAAATGTAGTTTCATAACTTAATGACTATTGCCTTTAAAAACCTCTGCTTATTTTTGCTTTCTATATTCATACCGTTTTCACATGTGAATCTATTGGTTTTTTTCAGATTGAAAAATCAGTTTTTCGCATTTTGTGAGAAAACGAAGCAAAAATAGTCACAAAATGTCCGAGAAGAAAAGCTTGTGCCTAGAATTTTACATCATTTGAAAAAAACAGATTTTAAATTAATTGCGGCATTGCTGAGAAAATCGCAAAATACGCTTTATGTAAGCAAGCAAACTAGCAAGCAAGCAAGTTAATAAGCAAGAAATCTCAGTTTTTTACATTTGATCCGTGCTGCTCTATAGAAGAGCTGTATTGTTTTTGGGCAAGGTAGGAACAACCGTTGCTTCAAAAAAAGCAAAAAACTTTCCTTTCTTACGAATTTTTCAAATTAAAAGTTCACTGTGATTTTTTTTTATTTTAAACTAGGCTTTGGATGAAAAAAATTTTTTTGAGCAAAGAACCTAGAAGGAAATACATTTTCAATTTTGGACTAGGGGCGACCCTAGTCAAAATCAATTTTGTCACTATTTTCTTCGAGGGTTTATCCAAATGGATTGAAACTTTGCAAAAATATTCAAATGCTTAAAACAAATACAAATAAAACATCCTAAAATTTTTTTTGAGCAAAGAACCAAGTAGGAAATACATTTTCAATTATGAACTTGGGACAGGTCTAGTCAAAATCTAGTTTTTCACTTTTTTTCTTCGAAGGTCTATCCAATTACAGTGAAACTTTGTGTGAGTATACTAATATTTATACAAAACAGTTTTAAATATCTAAAGCAAGAAATGTATTCTTTATGTCGTCAGACCCAAATTTTATAAATTTGGTTGTACATTCAAAAACAACGTTAAAATTTTGTCCAAAAAATGATTTTTATTAATTCAGAAATGTGTGACCTAAAGATTAGAATGTTCATACAAAGTTTTACTGTATTTGGATCAGTGTTGCAAATGTAGATGTCTACACTAGATGAAGAATGTAGATTCTTCAATAGTTTTTGTCTAGCTAAGAAACTTTCTTCATAAAGATCGATTCTACATGTAGAAAGAAAAAAACCATCTACATGTAGATTGTGTCTACATATAGAATCTGTCTACATGTAGATTCGATGTAGATGTCTATAATTCTACATTTTTTCCAGGTCTACATCAGAGAAGAATGTAGAATCGTAGACATCTACATTAAATCTACATGTAGACAGATTCTACATGTAGACACAATCTACATGTAGATGGTTTTTTTCTTTCTACATGTAGAATCGATTTTATGAAGAAATTTCTGTCTCAGAATTTATCTGATCCAGACAAATAGCCAGAATGCAACACTGATTTGGATTTATCCTCGAAGAAAAAAGTGAAAGCTAGATTTTGACTGGACCTGTCCCAAGTTCATAATTGAAAATGTATTTCCTACTTGGTTCTTTGCTCAAAAAAATTTTTGAATATTTTATTTGTATTTGTTTTAAGCACTAGAATATTTTTGAAAAGTTTCAATCCATTTGGATAAACCCTCGAAGAAAAAAGTGACAAAATTGATCTTGACTAGGGTCGCCCCTAGTCCAAAATTGAAAATGTATTTCCTACTTGGTTCTGTGCTCAAAAAAAATTTTAAGATGTTTTATTTGTATTTGTTTTAAGCACTAGAATATTTATTCAAAGTTTCAATCCATTTGGATAAACCCTCGAAGAAAAAAGTGACAAAATTGATTTTGACTAGGTTCGCCCCTAGTCCAAAATTGAAAATGTATTTCCTACTTGGTTCTTTGCTCAAAAAAGTTTTTGGATGTTTTATTTGTATTTGTTTTAAGCATTAGAATATTTTTGAAAAGTTTCAATCCATTTGGATAAACCCTCGAAGAAAAAAGTGACAAAATTGATTTTGACTAGGTTCGCCCCTAGTCCAAAATTGAAAATGTATTTCCTACTTGGTTCTTTGCTCAAAAAAATTTTAAGATGTTTTATTTGTATTTGTTTTAAGCACTAGAAGATTTTTGAAAAGTTTCAATCCATTTGGATAAACCCTCGAAGAAAAAAGTGACAAAATTGATTTTGACTAGGTTCGCCCGTAGTCCAAAATTGAAAATGTATTTCCTGCTTGGTTCTGTGCTCAAAAAAAATTTTAAGATGTTTTATTTGAATTTGTTTTAAGCATTAGAATATTTTTGAAAAGTTTCAATCCATTTGGATAAACCCTCGAAGAAAAAAGTGACAAAATTGATTTTGACTAGGGTCGCCCCTAGTCCAAAATTGAAAATGTATTTCCTACTTGGTTCTGTGCTCAAAAAAAATTTTAAGATGTTTTATTTGTATTTGTTTTAAGCACTTGAATATTTTTTCAAAGTTTCAATCCATTTGGATAAACCCTCGAAGAAAAAAGTGACAAAATTGATTTTGACTAGGTTCGCCCCTAGTCCAAAATTGAAAATGTATTTCCTACTTGGTTCTTTGCTCAAAAAAATTTTTGGATGTTTTATTTGTATTGGTTTTAAGCACTAGAATATTTATTCAAAGCTTCAATCCATTTGGATAAACCCTCGAAGAAAAAAGTGACAAAATTGATTTTGACTAGGTTCGCCCCTAGTCCAAAATTGAAAATGTATTTCCTACTTGGTTCTGTGCTCAAAAAAAATTTTAAGATGTTTTATTTGTATTTGTTTTAAGCACTAGAATATTTATTCAAAGTTTCAATCCATTTGGATAAACCCTCGAAGAAAAAAGTGACAAAATTGATTTTGACTAGGTACGCCCCTAGTCCAAAATTGAAAATGTATTTCCTACTTGGTTCTGTGCTCAAAAAAAATTTTAAGATGTTTTATTTGTATTTGTTTTAAGCACTAGAATATTTATGCAAAGTTTCAATCCATTTGGATAAACCCTCGAAGAAAAAAGTGACAAAATTGATTTTGACTAGGTTCGCCCCTAGTCCAAAATTGAAAATGTATTTCCTACTTGGTTCTGTGCTCAAAAAAAAATTTTAAGATGTTTTATTTGTATTTGTTTTAAGCACTAGAATATTTATTCAAAGTTTCAATCCATTTGGATAAACCCTCGAAGAAAAAAGTGACAAAATTGATTTTGACTAGGTTCGCCCCTAGTCCAAAATTGAAAATGTATTTCCTACTTGGTTTTGTGCTCAAAAAAAATTTTAAGATGTTTTATTTGTATTTGTTTTAAGCACTAGAATATTTATTCAAAGTTTCAATCCATTTGGATAAACCCTCGAAGAAAAAAGTGACAAAATTGATTTTGACTAGGGTCGCCCCTAGTCCAAAATTGAAAATGTATTTCCTACTTGGTTCTGTGCTCAAAAAAAAATTTAAGATGTTTTATTTGTATTTGTTTTAAGCAACAGAATATTTATTCAAAGTTTCAATCCATTTGGATAAACCCTCGAAGAAAAAAGTGACAAAATTGATTTTGACTAGGTTCGCCCCTAGTCCAAAATTGAAAATGTATTTCCTACTTGGTTCTGTGCTCAAAAAAAATTTTAAGATGTTTTATTTGTATTTGTTTTAAGCACTAGAATATTTTTGAAAAGTTTCAATCCATTTGGATAAACCCTCGAAGAAAAAAGTGACAAAATTGATTTTGACTAGGTTCGCCCCTAGTCCAAAATTGAAAATGTATTTCCTACTTGGTTCTGTGCTCAAAAAAAATTTTAAGATGTTTTATTTGTATTTGTTTTAAGCACTAGAATATTTATTCAAAGTTTCAATCCATTTGGATAAACCCTCGAAGAAAAAAGTGACAAAACTGATTTTGACTAGGTTCGCCCCTAGTCCAAAATTGAAAATGTATTTCCTAGTTGGTTCTTTGCTCAAAAAAATTTTTGGATGTTTTATTTGTATTTGTTTTAAGCATTAGAATATTTTTGAAAAGTTTCAATCCATTTGGATAAACCCTCGAAGAAAAAAGTGACAAAATTGATTTTGACTAGGTTCGCCCCTAGTCCAAAATTGAAAATGTATTTCCTACTTGGTTCTTTGCTCAAAAAAATTTTTGGATGTTTTATTTGTATTTGTTTTAAGCACTAGAAGATTTTTGAAAAGTTTCAATCCATTTGGATAAACCCTCGAAGAAAAAAGTGACAAAATTGATTTTGACTAGGGTCGCCCCTAGTCCAAAATTGAAAATGTATTTCCTACTTGGTTCTTTGCTCAAAAAAATTTTAAGATGTTTTATTTGTATTTGTTTTAAGCACTAGAAGATTTTTGAAAAGTTTCAATCCATTTGGATAAACCCTCGAAGAAAAAAGTGACAAAATTGATTTTGACTAGGGTCGCCCTTAGTCCAAAATTGAAAATGTATTTCCTACTTGGTTCTTTGCTCAAAAAAATTTTAAGATGTTTTATTTGTATTTGTTTTAAGCACTAGAAGATTTTTGAAAAGTTTCAATCCATTTGGATAAACCCTCGAAGAAAAAAGTGACAAAATTGATTTTGACTAGGGTCGCCCTTAGTCCAAAATTGAAAATGTATTTCCTACTTGGTTCTTTGCTCAAAAAAATTTTTGGATGTTTTATTTGTATTTGTTTTAAGCACTAGAAGATTTTTGAAAAGTTTCAATCCATTTGGATAAACCCTCGAAGAAAAAAGTGACAAAATTGATTTTGACTAGGGTCGCCCCTAGTAAAGTAGGAACAGCCGTTGCTTCAGAAAAAGCAAAAAACTTTCCTTTCTTACGAATTTTTCAAAACAAAAGTTGACTGTGATTTTTATAAAATTAAACTTTGGATGAAAAAATTTTTTAAAAAACTTTTTAAGAATGTTCGGTAAACTTTCAACCTTCAAACTTATGCTGAGCGAAGCTCAGTTGACTCGCTTTTAGCTTTATACCTTCAAACTTATGCTGAGCAAATCTTGGTCAATCCATAAGACTTGATGGCATGGTGTGAATATATCCGCATTGGGTTTCTACCCGATACACTAGTTTATTCACGTGTATTCTTTTTGTTCAGATTGAAAAATTAGTTTTTCGAATGTTCCCAGGGAATGGAGCAAGATGAACATGTTTAAAGATGAAAAGTTTGTGCCTGAAATTTTCTTCTGCAAAAAACAGATTCAAATTGGTTGCAGCATTACTGAGAAAATCGCAAAATACGCTTTCTGTAAGCAAGCAAACTAGCATGCAAGTTAATCATTAAGAAATCTCAAAAACGTGACATCGTAGAGACTTCTAGTTTTTTATATTTAATCCGTGCTGCTCTATAGATGAGCTGTTTTGTTTTTGGGCAAGGTAGGAACAGCTGTTGCTTGAGAAAAAGCAAAAAACCTTTCTTTCTTAAAAATTTTTAAAGTTCATTGACTGTTATTTTTATAAAATTAAACATTGGACGAAAAATAATTTAAGAAAACTTTCAAAAAATATTAAGGCATATTCATTAAGCTTTATGTCTTCAAACGCATGCTGAGCGAAGCTCAGCTGGCTCGTCAAGCTTTATATCTTCAAACATATGCATAGTATATGTCACATATGTTCTATGCAAAGTATATGTCACATATCTATACATAGTATGCTTCAACACATACATTATCTTTAATTTGAAATCCTTACTTTAGTTTCACGGAGTTTCACTTTTGATTTTAATGTCTTAAATTTAGCTACAAAAGTTTTAATTTATGTAAAACATTCAAAAATACATTGGTAATCTAATGCTATTTTTAAAGATTCCAAAAAAAAGGAATTGGAACTAAAAATAAAAATTAAGAAAAAGTCGAATTAATGAATTAGAAAAATTCAATTCTCTAGAGTTGCACTAATAAACATTTCGAAAAATAGCATTATTATATATAGATGAAAAATCTATTTGTAGTTTTTGATTTTTTAGATTAACGTGTAACATCGTTTCATTTTATCACACATCGACAATAAAGTTGATAATTTGAAACGATGAAAATTATTAAATATTTGTTAATTGAAAGTTTCCGTTTACTACACTCGCCGTACTCAAATTTGTAGAAGTATTATTTATTAAATCTCATATAATGAATAATTGGTAGTTTGTAATATAAATTGTGTATATGTCACTTTGATTTGGAGTTTCATAATAAGACCACCATTAAGCTATTATTTTTTATTTGTTTTAAATTTTAAAGCTACAAAATGAAGCATCCCTTTAGAATTACAATTACTGTTCGAGTCAGTCGTGAACAAACCAAATTTAATAGAATATTGTTGCTCACGCTTTGCTCCAGTCTTACCTTACTGATAAGGTGGATAGAGAAACTACATTTATGACGAATTAACAGTAAAGTTACAGTGGTTCTCAAATTTAATAGCTCGCGACACCACACTAACCTCCCACCCTCCCCCGAGCTTAATATTGATCCATGATGTTTTTTTTTGGTATTTGTCTAAACGTTTCGCGACACACAAGAAATCTTATGTCTTGACACAGTAGTGTGCCTCGGAGCATAGTTTGAGAAGCACTTCTATAGCATGTCTAATTTATTTTTAACTTAAATTAATTTAAAAATTATAAAATAACCCATCACATAAATGTTTTTAATAACCTTCCATCGATTTTTCAATTGAATTAGCTAGAAGTAAGTAAGTGATAGTATTTTCATAAAGTAAAATGAAAAACTTAAATATGTTTTTTTTTAATGTGGAAAATCAACACTATAGTAATATTAAGCAATTGTTCGCTTTGAATGTCTCACTCGTTACTAACAATACTGAAAATGATACGAGAAAAATAAAATAGAGTTAAAACAGAAAATTTTCGTGAATGTTTTGCTGATAATAGTGTTGCTGCTTACTGACAACATTCAACGACATGTATACAGAGCTGCATCTACGTATATATATTGTTTATTTTTGACAAATAAGAAAAAAATACTTCTTACTTCGTAACCTTGCAAAATAATGTAAATGAATGTGCAATTTTGTACTGCTGTATTTTTATTCTATTCCGCAAAATTTTCCCTTTAAATGCATACATCTTTTTCAATTTGTGCTTGCATGAGTTTGTTAGTAATGCCTTTATTAAAACTCACATCTAAGGTTAGGTAATGACTGATGTAATTTTAGTAATACTCTATAATAAGGTGAATAAAAAAAAATAAATGAAAATGCTAGAATTATTTTAATCTAGTTTCTTGTGCTCAGTGTAGAACATTATTCTCTAACTATTTAAATGCGATCATTACTTGCTACTATAGTCACATTCAAAAAAATACACATGCGCATTTGTATCCACAGCATAGAAACAATTTCACGTAGCTGAATGATAGTAATGTTTTCAATAAATATTAATTGATAAAGATAACTGTGCGGATGTATATTTTACTATAAAGTCACGTGGCCTTTTGTTATATATTATATTGTTGAATGTTTTGTATTGCTGAGTACAGCATTCAAATATTCTAGCAAGAAATTTTTTAAGGTGTATATGTACATTAATGTGAAAAAAAGACGAAAAGGTAAAGATATCAAGTAACAATAAGATAAATATCACGAGTTGTCACTAAATTGCAACATTTGAATTGTTTCGGCTTGCATATTGTTATTGGCCTCGAAAACATGAGAAAATTCGAATTAATAGTTCAAAAATTCACTATTGATATTATTAAGATTTTTTTATATTTAAATTTGAAAGAGAAATATAAAAATTTATCTATCATTATTTGTATTCTCGATAAAATTTTGATCAATTTATGTAAGAAAATTCTATAATAATTTCATCATAGACCGGCTTTTAAAGCTTTCTCAATGAAAACACACTGAAACATCTTTAATCAGATATCAATACTCACGAAAGTAAAATAATTCAAAAACGTTTTTGTTTTCCATTTACTTAACGAGAGATAAATTGATAACAATCAAATGAATATATATGATCATTTATATGCAAATTTTTTATTTTGAAAACATAAAAAGGAAGAACAATCTATTCAAAGACATTTTACTCGAGGATATTTTCTGGTAAAAGCAATTTCCCTTTAATTGAATTGTTTTGCGATAATATGTTAATAGAATTTGTAAAGAAATAAGGAACGTAGTTGCATATCAGGAGGCAATTTTAAAGATTGCTGTACATGACTTATTAGACATTGAAAATTCATCTCATTATTCATTTCAGCGATATTCTGTTCAAAATCATTGTTTTTCTTTATAAAGAACTGTACATGAATCGAATATTTTTAAGTTTATTGTCCTCACCTTTCATATCTGATTGAACATTCGATGTATTTGCTATATCATTCAAGCAATGTTCCAATGATCGCATGTCCATATTATTTCGATCCTAAAGTTCATTAAAGAAAAAAATTAAATTGAAAAAAATATTTTATCGAATCTATAAAACGTGTTATTAAATAGGTTATAATACGTACATTGTAGTTTATATAAGGCTGATCTTCAGTCATGCCTCCAACATCCATATTGAATCCATGCATTTGATTTTTATTGGGATATGAAGTACTGCGGCGATATTTTGAAGGAGAACTATTTAAATTCGGAGACAAACCTCCTTGAGATTGTTGTTGAGAATTGGAAGCAACCGATGAAACTGGAAAATGTTTACGTTGATATAACTGTTGCTGCTGTTGATGGTGATTTAGACCATGATTTGAGAGAGAATTTCCTCCTGATCTTCCTCGATTCCAAACAGGATTCAACGGTCCTTGCGATGTCGAGTTGGGTTGCAGTAAAGGAATTTGATGTTGCCAAGAAGAGTTTGATGCAGAATTATTGGACCATTGAGGAAAATTATTTCCACTGTTACTGTTGTTCTTATTACTGTGAATATATTGATGTTGTTGTTGTTGTTGTTGTTGTTGCTGATGTTGAATATTATTACGAGTTACGTTACTATTATTTGGTGACAATCCATGATGCATTTGTGGATTTACAATTGAACGTTTTAAAATTTGTCCATTATTATGAGATGAATAATTTGCAAAAGCATTGTTAGTGCTACAGTTGTCTTCACCTATAGACCAATCATTAATAACCAGCGATGAATTTTCCGACGAGCAAGGAAAATTCATTCCACTGTTTTGCTCCATTAGCATTGGATGACTGTTAGCATTATTTAAGAAATTAGTGGCCGAGTTGGGTGATGATGTGACAACATTCAAACAATTTACATCGGTAGATGTAATATTCAATTCGATATCATTTGTGACATTGGTTCTTATAGATATTGGTGAATGTAATGTGATTTTTTGTGAACAATTATCGCCCGTTAATAAGCTTGAAATTGCACCATTTTTTAAATTGTTATTAGTATTATTATTGTTGTTATTAACAGCTGCTTTCAAAATGTCACTGGTATCATCGTCAGTCTTTTCTGCCGCATCACCAATTACTTGAGTATTAATACTCGATGTAGAATTTTGTGGACTTGAAACAGCCATCGTTGTTGTCGGCATTTCTTAGTTTTCAAATTGAATGTTTTTAATTCCTTTTAGTTTTGTTGTTTCAGTCAGTTGTAATGTTCTTGCTTTTGTATATTTTTATGCACTTTCTACTTGTACTCACGAAATATTACGAAACTTTTTTTTTTATTTTTGTGTTAAAATATTCACACTTGTCTTATTGATAAGTATATCTCATTATAATTGTTCAATTTTCTATGCAAATATGAACGTGAACGATTTTGTATCAGTCATACATTTATTCCAAACGAGTCACCAATAGTACTATGATATTATATTATTTAATTATATAAATTATTAAAAGGTTTTGATTTTTTTTTTTATATTAATATATCTTCTATCTACTTTTAATTCATTTAATTACACCATTATTTCACTCACAATGACAAAACAATTATTTTTTTTTCTATATTTGACAAAATTATTTTAAAATTTTTAGGTGCATATAGCGTCCTTAAAAATCCAATTGATTAATAGTATTAAACAGATTTAAGAACCGATCATCAATTATGGCTTTAAAAATAGATTCAACAAATCTTTTATTTATTTCTTTAATTAGTTTATTTTCCTTTTTACACAAAGCATTACGATACACTCAAACCTTGTACAAGGTCTTGACTTAATGACGAAACGATTTTTTCTTTATTTTACTTTTCTCTATTTTTTTTTTTCTTCTTAAATTGTATACCTATCATATATGTAACTATTGCTCAGATTAAGTTGCAAATTTTCTTTTCTCTTTTTTCCAAGAGCAAATTTGTATGTATATTTTAATAACAAGAAAACCAAAGAAAATGTGAAAACTAAATTATGAAACCTTTCTTATTTTAAAAGTTGCTGCGCGCAGAATCAATTGTGAAAACACTACTATGAATTTTTCTCTTCCTTTTTTATTTCAACAATTTTTTCATTAAAGCATTTTTTAAATTATATTTTCTAAACGAATGTATCCTATTAGCTCCTTTAATGAATAATAATTCTGTTTATTAATCCCTTATATTCTTTTATTTTATCTTTAATGCTTTATTTTTTTAAAAGAAAACAAATCAATTATGAAAATTTTCTTGATTTTCCCTTTTTGTTACAAAAAAAGTGTCTGATAACTATATACTTCAACAGAAATATTTATATTTCACTTTAATTTATCTTGGACCATTTACCGAGCATATTCACAATAAAATTTCAAATATTCACATTTTAAAAAATCTATACTTTCATTATTTCAACTTTAATTTCAATTCGAAATTATTTTTTTCTTAAAAAATTAAAATTTTTCTTAAGAGAAAAACTGAAATAGTACAAGGGGGATGAAGTTTTTCAATTTTCAGTGCGGTCGGAAAATTTTAAAGTACTAGATTATTTTCATTTCTCAAAACGACTTTCCTTCTTTTTAAGCAGCACGTGTGCATTCTATGCATAGAATATTTTACTACTTTTTCTTATTTCTGTTTATCTATACATTTATTTATTATTTTTTTTTTATTGAGAATCATTTTTAATAAATTCATATTATTATCTTACCAATAAGTTTCATAATGCTTGTCGTTTCTATTACTTAACAAACTAATTCTAATTGTCTTTCTTAAGTCCAACAAAAAAATTAAATCCTTATAATTAAACTGTTTTATTTTTGCTCAACATTACTCAATTTTGAATAGAAAAGCTTATTCGAATCATAAGTTATTCAAGTAATATTTTATCTTTTGGCTTTAGGTAACAGAAATAAAGAAGAAAGCACATTATGCTCATAATACCACTCTGAACAATGACCAAGAAAATGAATTCAAACCACCATGTGTCTAAAAACTCTTCGAAACAATACCATGATATTGTCATTGTTATGTTTTGTATAATAACTATTAGAAAATATAAGACATTCCACGTTCTAATTTGTTTAAATTTAACTTTGAACTCAATCAAATTAAAAATAAATATGTATGCAAGAATGCCATAAAATGCTGTTCTCTGCCATTTGACTTGAAATCTTGTTTCATTTATTAACATTAAAAGCATTAGGCAATAATGTGAAAAGCATAACCACCCACATATATTTAAATGGAAAACAGCAAATGACGAAAGTGACATCAATCGCATTATTAGGAAAAAATTCCAACCCAAAAAGGCAATGAATTTTGCAATTATGTCGTCACTTTCGATTCCAGCTACAATTTCTCGCCTTGTAGGTAAAATAAAGGCATCCACTTCATCTGATGATTTTTCAGTAAAGGCTTTCGTTTCCATTTCATTTTCAACTTGATGCGTGAATAGTCCTTTAGGAGCTCTTGGAATTTTCTCTTTTATAAAAGACTCTGTGTTTAAAAGCATTGTATTTCCTAAAGCTGATAATCGATGCATGGTGTTATCCAATGGTGTAATAAAAGACTTTCGGATATTAATATGGAAATTGTGTTTATGATCATCTTTTCCTAGCTTGACATTATTGTCCATATTTTCATCTGGAGAATCAACAACATAATCATCATCATTGCTAAGGTTTAGGTTTTTATATGATATAATTTTTTCATCGTCTGTTATATTGACGTTGTAATCTATTATTCCTTTTTCACCGGAAAAACTGTCGTCCAAATTATTAACACAATTTTCTTCATTTTGACTGGCTGTAACATTACTTTGCGTTTGACAAAATGTTGCGGAGACTGATCTTGTAAACTTGATGTTTGGTGGTTTCATTGTCTGCCATGGATAGCTTTTTCCAACAATCTTTTGACTTTCAAATCTTTGATACGATTCTGCTGTCATGGACATTTTAATTAGTCCAAATGCAATCGATAGAACTTGTACAAATGCTAAAAAAAAATTTCAATGGATCTCATGTAGTCGTGTATGCACCTTGGAGATATAAATTTTATTACCTGTATCATAATTTCTAAACATGTCGTTTCGGAGAATGATATATAACTGAAAGATGATTTGTGGAGCACAGTGGAAGAACGACTGAAGAAAATGGTAGAGCTCTAAATGAGAATTTTCAGCTGCTTTCGATATCGCTTGATGACGTTCATATGTGTTCTTGTCATGAAATAAACTTTCCACGCACCAAAAAATCTTTCTCGAAAACCTTTAAAGTAAGCATAATCTTTATCATATTATCAATCAATTGTATTCAACACCTACCTGTAAAGTGCGCATATTGGAAAAATCATCAAATATAAAAATTGAAATGAAATTAGCCGTAGTATACTGATATGCTTGGAATCATTAAAAGGATCTGCAGGTTTTAATATGGTTATAATAAATGTAACAATGGCAGGAATTATTACGAAACTAAATGTAATCATTGCCAATGATTTATTTCCATCGAGAGTATGCTGATAAATTAGAGCACTGTCAATAACCATGACTGTAATAAACACAAACAGCTCAATTATACACGGAATTAAAAAGTTTAAGGTAATTTGCCATCTTGTTTTTATGTTATATCCAATAATTTGTACCGGAATGTTGTCCATTCTGTCGAATTATACAGACTAAAACTGTTGACTACAAGAGAAGATAAGGAACAAAATAAAATTTTTGTTATCTTATCTTTTTCTCAATAAAACGTGCAATGAGTCACAGAAAATTGTAGGTGTATGTAAAAATACTATACACCACCGAGCCAGCCTTCCAATAATAACGATTATTAATTATTCTTTCAAAAGTATTAAATGAAAATTATTGAAATTTGATCCTATAAAATTTGAAGCATCGACGACTAAAAAGAATAAAGCATGAAATTGGATACCAAAATTATTCATTGTTAAGGAGATATTTGTTACTGTATTACCATGACGATGTTTTGAACATAATATTTTTTATAAGCATGTAAAGTGTTTCGTTCGTGATATTCGAAAAATAAAAGTTGTTCAATTTGACGTTTGAAACCAACCAATTATTTCGTTACTTTTTGTCCAAGGATTAAGAATCGACAAAAATTTGACGCATGATTCAGCAGTATTGGAGATATAACACAAAAAATAATACATGTGTGAGGACTAGGAAAATCAAACCTAAAGCATGAGGAACAACCCTTTAATTGTAGCAATTTTGACAAACAAAAAAAATTCAAAAGAGGAAGTTGAAAAATATTGTAACGAATAGTGTGTGAGAGAAGTACAAATGGATAATATCGAATGGACATCTGAAACTTTGCCAGTTTTCCGAGAGTATTTCGAGAGAAACCGAGATGAAGTTAGAATTTTTCGAGACCTCATAGTTTCTGAGATCTGGAGATGCCCAAACTCGTCTAATATCCATTTGTAGTGCTGACAGGACTTTTTCAAAAATCATCCAAATTTTATAAATTATATATTAAAACGTATCTACTTTTTCCGAAAGAAATGGAGAGCAAAAAATTTTTGCAATCAGACTTTTAGATTTTGAGATATGGCATTTCCAATTTTTTTTAGACGAATTTCAATTGGATCCTACATATCAACTTTCCGAGAATAATTTTAATAATACAAATTATACATTAAATTACATCTACATTTTCCGAGAGAAAACGAGATGCAAAAATTATTTTAATTTGATCATTCTCTCTTGAGATATGGGCTTTTAAACCTTTCGACGAGTTTAGATTTTGGACACAAATGGTCAACTTTTTGATACATAAAGGAATCAAACATATTATACATCAAAATTCATGTACCTTTTCCGAGAAGATACGAGAAGTAAAAATATTTTCATTTCGACTTCTTATATTTGAGTTATCAGCTAAAGCCAGGAATTTATATAAAAAAATGCAGATTAGAAAAAATCGTGAAAATTTAATGATAAATTCTAAAAACAATGAAACTTTACAAACAAGAAATGCATTTTTTACCAAAAGTGAACATGTTAATTGAAAATTCCCCAAAAAATTTCATGTTGTTTTACTGAAAATTTCAATACATTTTCAAAAACATGCAATACTTCATACTTAAAAGTTTTAATCGGTTTTCTACCTACTTTAGATCTAGTTCAAGAATAATGCTTATGATTAATATTCTTAGATCGTAGTTTGCTTAATAAGACTCACAAAAGCAAGTCGTATTTTCTAGATCTAAATATAAGCAAGATCTAGATCAATAATCATGCTCATAAATGAAGCCTTTATGTTACATAATATATCAGGTATTTAAGATTTAGATCTTAATCATGCTCAGTAAGAATCTTGTAAGAGTAGATAAGAGTAAGTTAAATAATCTAGATTTGGGCATGTTGCACAATACATCGAGATTTTGAGATTTAGAGCTTGATTGAGATCACAAAGAATTTGATTAGAGTAAGCCTAAGTTTTTATGAGAGTGATCTAAAACATCATGCTCTGATCAAGCTCAATTTTTGTGACTTTCTTTTTGTTATTAGGGTTAGTATACAAAAAGAGGTTGTGAATGTTCCTTTGAAATCTTGAGATTGGGATTGTTTTAAAGTTTAAAGATTTATTTTTAAATTTAAACATTGCGACACTTATTACGTATTACTTATTACTTATGTAAAAAACAATAAACTGATAAAGTTTCAGAATTTATCATTAAATTTTCACGATTTTTTCTAATCTGCATTTTTTTCTATAAATTCCTGGCTTTAGCTGATAACTCAAATATAAGAAGTCGAAATGAAAATATTTTTAATTTCTCGTATCTTCTCGGAAAAGGTACATGAATTTTGATGTATAATATGTTTGATTCCTTTATGTATCAAAAAGTTGACCATTTGTGTCCAAAATCTAAACTCGTCGAAATGTTTAAAAGCCCATATCTCAAGAGAGAATGATCAAATTAAAATAATTTTTGCATCTCGTTTTCCCTCGGAAAATGTAGATACGTTTTAATATATAATTTATAAAATTTGGATGATTTTTGAAAAAGTCCTGTCAGCAGTACAAATGGATATTAGACGAGTTTGGGCATCTCCAGATCTCAGAAACAATGAGGTCTCGAAAAATTCTAACTTCATCTCGGTTTCTCTCGGAATACTCTCAGAAAACTGGCAAAGTTTCAGATGTCCATTCGATATTATCCATTTGTACTTCTCTCACACACGAGTAGTGTAGTTGTATTATAGAAATTTTTGTATTCTTTCACACTTTGGATTCACAACTAGATCATTATGAAATGGAAATAAATTTAGTTAAGCTTCAATTAAGGCATAAATAAGGCTTAACTTGAAATGAATAAGGAAAGCTTTTAACGAACAAATTCAAAAAAAGCTAATTAAAGATGCAAAATTATTTTCAAAAGATGCAAAAAGTTTCAGTTCCAATCGGGAGAATTTATAAATTCTGTATTAGAAAGAACAATTAATAAAACACTGGAAATCCAGTTTTATTTAAAATTAAGTTAAGCTAATACTTAATTTTCATTAAATCCAGGAGCAAATGAATGTTAGAAATTGTTTTAATTTTTGCATGATTTAATAGACAAAAGTGACATTCTTTAGGACTGACTTTTTTTGTCACGTCATTGATGTACATAGCTTAAAAAATTGAACATTATTGTGCGGAAAAAGAATCAAAAGTTATTGTTTAATTATTGTGCTATTTAAGCTATATAAAACGTTTTAAATAGACTAATTAGTTGCATTAATCAATCAACACTGCGTTTAAGTGAGTGAAAATGGGTACACGCGACGATGAATATGACTATTTATTCAAAGGTAAAAGAATTTGATTTTTTTCTTCAATTTTCCTATGACCTTTTTTTCGATTCTCGTTGATTCTGCCTTTTCTCTTGAATATTATCATAAACAATGGAAGACATTTAACAGTAACTGCGAAATTTCAGTAAATAAAGTAAAAAAATTCTCATTACACATATTAAGATAACAAAAGACCTTAATATAGTTATCGTATAATAGTCGAATTTAATGAATTTGTTCAGATATTATCATCCAAGAATCTATGGCTTAATATGTAAAGAAAATGACTATATTCCACGCTGGCAAACGAAAAATAATAAATTTGTGACATTTTCTGTGTAATTTTGTGCAAAAATTTATGGTGAAAATAGCATTTTTAAGAAACTATAATATAATATTCGTCGTATATTACATACATTAGTTTAGCACAAAGAAAAAAAAAATCATCATTTTGTGGGGCGTGAAGTAATCATCTGATTGAATATTTCTTGATATGTGACTCATAATCTCATCGTCCAATTTCTTTCTTCTCTTGTGCCACTATTACTAAGTTTATACAATTGATTGCACGAGATGATAATAAAAACGGATTCAAATTATTTATATTTATTTTATATATCCTCAAAACTATGACGCATTAACTTGAGCTAATTTTACAACAAAAAAAAAACTCTTAAATGTAATTAAACATCGACAAATTGAGTAACTTTTGACAAATACTTGCAGTGGTTTTAATTGGAGATTCTGGTGTTGGAAAAAGTAATCTGCTATCGAGGTTTACACGTAATGAATTCAATCTAGAATCGAAATCTACAATAGGAGTAGAATTTGCAACTCGTAGCATTGTTGTTGATAATAAAACTATTAAGGCTCAAATCTGGGATACAGGTAATTAATATTCAAGTGGCAAAAGACAGTTGACAATGTCTTCTCTTTTTCTCGACTGTAGCTGGTCAAGAGAGATATCGAGCAATTACATCGGCTTATTATAGAGGTGCAGTTGGAGCTCTTTTGGTGTATGACATTGCTAAGCATTTAACTTATGAGAACGTAGAAAGATGGTTGCGCGAATTAAGAGATCATGCCGATCAAAATATAGTGATAATGCTTGTTGGAAACAAGAGCGATTTAAGACATTTACGTGCTGTTCCAACAGATGAAGCCAAGACTTTCGCTGAACGAAATGGCCTCAGCTTTATAGAGACTTCTGCTCTTGATTCAACTAATGTGGAGACAGCATTTCAAAATATACTCACAGGTAATTACAATTTATATATCTTTATTGTCACCATTAATCATCGTTTAAATATGCATACCAAGCCTCACGTGTGACTAAGCGCAATAATATTTATTCAATCATATGTCATTTGTAGAAATCTACCGAATCGTTTCACAAAAACAAATTCGTGACCCACCAGAAGGGGATGTCATTCGTCCATCAAATGTGGAACCTATAGATGTGAAGCCCACAGTTACATCGGAAGTGCGAAAACAATGTTGCCAGTGATCCGCTTGAACTAAATATTCGTTCCATCATAATTTGCCTAGGAGCAAACATTCAGTGAAAATAAAAACAAAAGGAATATAATATATTTCTTTTCATCTGATTTACAGTTCTATATCAATTTTTTTTTCTTCATATTTTTTTTATTTTATTCTTTTTTTAATAAATATAATAATTTTATACTTCCTTAATGTTGAACTATTATGAGAATAATCAAATGAAGAGATGATTAAGAAGCTTTTCGCATTACACATATATGTTATGAGCATCAAAAAATAAATATTTCTGTTCCTGCGACACGAAATGAATAGCATTACTTCTCATAATTTTTACTACATCGACTATATTTTATTATCTTAATACCAATATTACAAATAGAAATGATTTTTAAAAAAATGTAATAGAATTTATTCTTTGAACTATTAAACTAGCATTTCGCGATAAAGGCTGTATTTTTATTATTAAATGCTGTAACGATTATTTTCATAATGCGCTACTTTAAATCCATGCATGTTATTTAAAGAAAAACTACTAGTGATTGGGAAAAACATAAACATACCTATCTGGATCATATTTTATCAATGTACACGTACACGACATGTTAATTTAATAAAAGTTTTGGGAAATATTAAAGATTTAGGAAGAAAAAAACATATGCAGCCAATTTTGAAGTAAAAAAGTACGTCATTATAAGCTTAACTTTATCAGACAGAACGTAAGTGAAAACGCATATTAAATTAGAAGAAAAAAAAATAATACAGAAGAATGATGTTAAAAAAAATGAATTCATTATATCAGCTTTTTGTACATTCTTAATATAGTTTTGGGACGAATCCATTATACATGAAAGAATCAGCATTAAATCAGTTGAGAATGTAATCTATATTGCTATGATAAACCTAATTTCATAAACATTTATTTGTTACACCTTAAAGACAATTCACACATGATGAAGTAAATCCACTTGAAAGCTGAAAAATTCACCCAAAATTGTTTCCTTTTTTCAAATGTATTAATATTTTTAGCTGACTAATAAAAAAGAATAATTTAATACATTTCTTTTATTTTAATCCTCCTTTACATTATTTCTGGTTCCGCTGGATCTCAGTAAAATCAGTATGAAGACAAATTTACAAATGTTCTACACAATATTTTTGATTTTATTTCTAGTAATTTACATATCCTTGCAAGATTATTTTCGCTTAATGAACTTGACATATTTGTTGGCACTAAATTTGTCATCCACTTCCTGTTCAATTTTAACTTTGGATTTCGGTTTTCTTTTCTCTAGTCTCAATCTTTTTTCCGTTTCTGTTAATTGACTCAAATCAAATGGAAGTTTAATAATCGCTCGTGGTTCATAGTATCTAATCCTGTATGTGCTTCCATTCGAATTCACTACTAATGTTCTGTAATTAATCAACCATGTAATTTAAGTCATTTTTTCGCCAAATTTAATTACTCACGTGTACATGTTTGGATAAATCGCTCGGTGTATTTTTGTTACAGCTGCTGTCGACGATGAAGCATTCCTGATGCCAATATGCAAAAGCATAGATGATTTATGCAAAAGTTGCTGCATTTTGCTTTGTTTTATTCTAAAAATAATCAAACAATTTTAAAACATTACAGAGATATGCTTTAACTATATTTACTCTCAATTTGATTCGAATCAAAAGCTACAAATGATTTCAATCAATTTTCATAATAATTTTTAACCAATCTTTGTGCAATGTTGACCATTTGAACCTCGTTATACTGTATGCTGTAAAATATTTTCATGACTTAAATCTTTTCCATTATAAGGACATTGTAATGAGACAAACAGAAGTGAAATAATAAGTTTGACTTGTTTTGACGTAGCATGCATAATGTCAAGTCTAATTGATAAATCTCCAGATAGATCCAATTCCAGCCTGATTAAATACGAAACTTTTTTAACGGTTTTTTAATATTTTGAATTGTCAAGGCATGGCAACTTCTCTTTATATTATAATATGATAAGAATCCTTTTTAAAGTTAATTGAAACTTTAGAAAATTCTTAAAAGTCAACAACTAGACATTTGAAAAGACGTAATAAGCTGAAAAAATGTACATATAAATTATAATATGAATTTTTGAAATCTCATAGGTCAATTTTTTGATTTCCACACCTTGCTTTTGATCATAAAATATAAAATTTCTTAAAAGAGTTTAATTAATTAATTTCACGCATCAAACGTAAATTCTAAGTGCAAAAACTAGTAAATGGTTAATATAATTAAGTCTAATATAGTGGGAAATTGAATTAGTGACGATATAATGTGCTTTTGTTGATTTTTTTGAAGAAAATTTATTTTTTACTTTAAAAGCTCTTGAATTTTCATTTTAATTATTTTAGAAAATCATTGTTTTCGTAAATCATAGGAAAAAAACAGAGCTAGAAGAATGACAGGGACATGAATGAATGAATGATTTATATTGTGATATTCTAGGAGATTAGGAAGAGTCATAAAAAAAATATATAGATATATAAATAGCACCTATATAGGTAGTATAAATATTTTTTTGTGTGGGTAAATAATTTGATTAAAAAGTAAAAAAAAAAGCATATAAGAATTAGCAAGAATGTATTAAATCAATTAAATTTGTTTCAAATTGTGTGATTTTTTTACATTAAAAAACATACTTGAAGATTTAATATTTGTAACAAAATAGAGAAATTTCAATTGTGTAATTAATTAATTTCTTCTTCTATTAAGTTGTGTATTGAATTACCTTTCGTGAGTGTTGGAGTATTATGGAATGATATATAATAAATGTAAGCAAAAAACTCACAGTGAGAAAGTGAAAAATAAATGCACAAAGATTAAAATAGTTGAAAAAAATGATATATTTGAAACTATTCGTATGGATTGATATAAAGTATATTCGATGATCATGAACTTAACGCAAAACAATTACTGTGGACAAGGCCCAGGTCCACCTATAATAAATAAAACAAAAAATGCTGTGAATAATAGTTCAACAAAGTCTAATGAAATAATATCAGCTCATAAAGAAAAGATCTTGGAACAATGTTCGGATCGTTTAGTGACGGGCCCATCATGTAGAGCTTTGAAAACGGCCGTGTCTGCACTTTTTTCTGTTGACGATTTTCATCGAGAAAAAATTGGCTCAGGATTTTTCTCAGAAGTATTTAAGGTAAGGTCCAGTACAAATAATCATTTCGAATAAGAAAATATCTTGGAATAGATCCAAATGCATGCTGACTGCTTGTAAAACATCTTCGCGACATTCTCAAAATATTATCATTTTTTTTTTTTCAATTATTCATACGAATGCCTTAGGGAGTATGTCTGCTAATATATAATAATGTAACTTCCGAAGAACTTCCGAACAACTGAATGAGTCAATAAACTGCACAAAAAAAAACTTTCAAATTCAAGTATTTCCTAGATTTCTTTTTTGTGCATTTCTTTATTTTTTTTTATTACTATTATTGTAAAGCCTTAATTATTCATGCATTCTTGTTCAGAGCATTGTTAATATAAAGCTATTTTTATTATTTAATGGGTGATGAAACATTATCTTTTGACACAGGTTACACATAGGACGACTGGCGAAGTGATGGTACTTAAAATGAATCAGTTAAGGTCTAATAGGCCTAATATGCTGAGAGAAGTTCAACTTCTTAACAAATTATCACACCCTAACATACTAAAGTAAGTAAAACTGTGTAATTAATTTAAAATCTAAATGTAATAAATAAATTTGCTTTAGGTTTATGGGAGTTTGTGTACAGGAGGGTCAGTTACATGCACTTACAGAATTTATTCCCGATGGTTCTTTAGAGCAGCTAATACAAAATAAAGCAGAATATGTTTCTCCTACGTCCAAAATACAATTAGCATTAGGAATTGCCAAAGGAATGAAATATGTCCATTCAATTAATGTATTTCATCGTGATTTAACGAGTAAGGTAATGTTGATCGATCATTTGTATTATTTTAATCCTTTAAAAATACTCAAATCAATTTTTTTTCCGAATTACATTTTGACAGAATGTGCTTGTAAGAAGATTTTCAAATGGAGAACTAGATGCTGTTGTTGGAGATTTCGGTTTGGCAGCAAAAATTCCCAAAAAGTGGTATGATAAAAAACAAACAAATTTTTTATCACTGTTATTAATTAATAATGCTTCCAATTATAGTGGAAAGTTTCGTTTAGATACTGTTGGCAGCCCATATTGGATGAGCCCTGAATGTCTTAATGGGAAATTTTACGATCAAAGTAGCGACGTATTTTCGTATGGGATAATTTTATGTGAATTAATCGCCCGAATTGACGCTGATCCAGATATTCTTCCTAGAACAGATGCTTTTGGTCTCGACTACATTGCATTTGTTGATCTCTGTCCCAGTGATACTTTACCAGCTTTTTTAAGGATTGCATTTTATTGTTGCAATGTAAGTTACTCTCTTAATACTGATCACGTGCATGAAAATGACGTTTTTTGGTTTCTTATAGTATGATCCGAAGAACCGTTATACGTTTAACGATGTAGCAAAAAAATTGACATTATTGCTGGATGATCGAAATAATGATTTAATTGAAGACAAAACAAACAGTATTAGCCCAAGTAATAATAGTTTAAATGACATCAGCATGTCACCATCAAAAGAAGATATTCAAAATAGCAAATACAATAAACGAAATTCAATAGACTCAACATTGAATAACAATGATAATAGTTGCAAAGAATCGACAAACAATAAGTCTTATAAACATTCAATATCAGAGTCGCCACCAAAACAACGAAATGAATCCAAAGTTCTTCCGTATACATCATTAACGTACCGACGTTCCTACTCGAGCGAGAATATTATGCTGCATACAGTACCAGCAGATAAAGCTCGATGTCATCCACTATTGAATCGAACGAACAACACGTCTCAACAGACTATTAATGAGACCGATTCGAATATGACGTTGAGGAAAATAGCTGAAACGATGCTTTTGAAAGATCCAAAATATAAGCCTCGTCCGAAGGAGAATTCAAAATTGAATCCGTTTACAAATCTTGCACAATTACGTGGAGTTAAGAAAATTATCGGTGCCAATGCAAATCAACTCACACCAGGTACAAATGATTTATTTAGTTCTTGTTTTGAGATGTCTTCGCCGTTTTTAAAAAGTTTAAAAGAATTAAATTATACAAAGAAGAAGAAGAAAAATCAGATTCCGAATGAGCCAAAGAGTTTACCAAGTTCCCCGTTAATTAAACGAAAGGACTTTAATGTTGATTCCCTATTGCCGAATTATGAAAATGTTTCGTCCTTAATGCGCAGCGATAGTAGTGCTAAATGTTGTAAAAAGTATTTTGATAAGCTTCAAAATCATCCGCTATATAAAAATGGCAAACAAGAAGAGACTGATTTGTGTGGTAGTAATAGTTGCAAGTTGAGGTGTGTAGAATCAAATGATGAATTAAAAGATTTATCGATACCTCTTCCGACAAATAGAATTATTGGTTTATCAGCGAATCCATCCAACATAAAATTTACAAATACAAATTGCTATGAGTCAAATTGCTTAATGGAGCCTATATCGATGGCAGGTAAGTCATTATATGAAACACCTCGATTGCTCACAAGACGAGGATCAACAGAGAGTGGTTTTTTTTCGTGCTTGAACGAAGACTTTTGTGATAAAACACGTGATTATGATCAAGGAGCGTGTTCTTATTTCTGCACATGCTGTTTAATGTCATCAACACCGTCAACTAGTAATGAAAAAAAAGACGATACCTCAAATGTTTCAACATCGATTTCTTTGCGGAGTTTAGATGATTTAGATTTGACAGACACGAAATTAAGTCAAAAATTACAGCATTGTATACATCATCGAATTGATGTAAACACAAAGTCTATTGATATGGGTCTTATTAATCGACTTACATTAGATAGCGAGATAAATTCAATTATTCAAAAGCATCAATTATCGAATCAACTGTTCTATTGTAAAAATCGCACATCTTCCATTTATTCAGATAGCAGTGATTCACTCGCAGGATCAGATTCCCTTTTATGGGACGATCGTTCATATTCAATACCAAATACGCGCTCGGCACAAATAGCAAAAATTGTAGAATATTTCGAAAGAAAAGGATCTAATTTCTCTGCGTCCAACTTTTCCGTCTCTGGCCTAAAGTCAAACTTTTCCTCGTCAACCACGTCAGCTAGTAATTATTTACCTTCATCAAATTACCATCATCATCATAAACAACTGACAGATTATTTTGTTGATTTACGTCGAGATTTTCACGACATAGGCAGTAATAATGATAGCAGTAATCCAAACTTAACATTCAAAAGAGATTATGAAACTTTTTGTTTCGACTTTACAGAGAAGAAACCATCCCAAAATTTTCACAAGATTTGCGAAGGATCAGTTAGATCCAAATTGCCATTATTCGATAAATCAAAGCAAGGTAATCAATCAGAGAAATGAATTTATATGACTCTAGAGTTGGTATTTTTCATGTGTCAATATTTTACATACCTATTTTTTTAAACCTATTTTTGTTTAAAAAAAAAAACAAAACATTTGAGAATGAACAAAAAATTAGTGCAAAAAAATCATTTCAAATTCAATCACCATAGAGTGTCAGAAAGTTCTTTTACTCAATGATTGTATGATTCACACATAGCTATATGGATAGACTGATTGATTGTCAAATTTTTGTAATGCTTTAAATTTGGGAATTTTCTGAAATTATTATCAAGGGTAATTCATTTAGAGGATTCAAAAGAAAAATCAATTTTTACAAAAGCATCATTTGTTAACGAATCCCTTGATCACTCTTACAAAAGAAAATTGTATAATAAGTCTTAGCCAAATAGCATTATAAAAAGATATCTTCCATGAAAAAAAGTCGTATATATTCAATGAATATTAAAGAGGCTAAGAACATTTATAGATGAATTGTTTGAATTCGTTAATCCCTTTAAAAAAAAAATAATATAATATCTATATTGAGAATTGTTACTTCCAAAATTATTAAATAAATTTTCTGTAATTTTTAATGAAATCGATTTGAAATTTATCAGCAATAACTTTTATAAACATACTGAAACATAGGAAATATATAAGAGAATTAGCTCTTTCCAAAAAAAATGTAATAGGTTTTAAGAACTTCCTCTTCATGTTATCAACTGTTTTTTTTTCTGTAATTAAAACAGATTAAAATACTTATATACTGATAAACGTCTTCAAATGAATTGTTCTTTCAAGTGTGAACAAAAACAGTCAATATTATCGTCTATAAATACATAGTCTGAAAATAATTGATTTCGTGATAAGCAACAATAATGTATGAGAAATCCTTTAAAGTACTTTTTGGGTAAAGCACAACGTCTATTCAAAATTTAATGAATTCAGTTAATTGCAAATTGATTAATCATCTTTTTTTTAAAAAGAAAATTGTGTTTCCAATTAAATATCTAATCTTTTATCTAACATTTTGAACATGATTTATTTGTTCATTCATATAAATATCATTAAGTCATGGGACAATTGCAATAAATAATATTTTATGTTATATTATATTTGAATTAATCATAAGAAAAAGAAATAAATAATGGTTTTTTCCAACATAGGTAAATCTTTTGTAAGGTTCTTTAAAATAATTATTTTTTAAAGCAGGAAAATCCTCTGTATTTTCAAGTCTCAATTTATTTGACCGTTATGCTAAATAAGGTGCGCGCAGTTCGTTTAGACGCACTTCAATATTTTAATGTTTTACTTACTTCAACATTATTAAGGGAATAACTATTTTGTGTATTTATAGCTAGTACTAAGAAGGTTTAAAATAAACTAAAACTATTTGACTTGGTGTTTTGTTAAGGTAATTAAATTAATTTTTTCAAAAATTACAACAACAAAGTGCGAAGTTCGTTTAGACGCACTTGAAAAAATTTAAGATTTTAAGCTTCCTGTATTGTATATTGATCTAAATCTTTTTTAATATGGTTCTATCAACAAAAACGAGTAATTAGTGTAAGTTTTAGAATTTTGCATCAAGTTTCAATAATTTTGAAAAATTATTTTTACCATGATTTTGTGTTTAATTGTTATTATTTTAACTGATTTACACAGATAATTGTCCATAATATAAGAAAATTAGCAGATATCTAGACTTTCCGTTATTTATAAGGCGAAAATATGTGAAAAATATAATTATGGTGAAAATTTTTCACCACTTTCATACATTAATCAACAAATTTTGACAAAACTGTTGATACCATAACAAATTTGAACAGACCAGATTATTTATCGTATTAAACTTAATCAAAAACAGAAAACTGCATAGTTCTATGACTATTGGAACTAGAAAATTTTATCGAAAAGTCAAGTTGTGGTGAAAAAAATTACACATAGAAAAATTAAATTTCAAAAAAACATTGTTTAAGGCAATTGTTTCATTTTAATTAAGTTAAAAAAGTGTTTCTTTCTAAAAATGTATCAATTAAAAACATCAAATAAAACCTTAGCTAATGTTTTTTTGGAATTTTATTTTTCTATGTGTAATTTTTTTCACCACAACTTGACTTTTCGATAAAATTTTCTAGTTCCAATAGTCATAGAACTATGCAGTTTTCTGTTTTTGATTAAGTTTAATACGATAAATAATCTAGTCTGTTCAAATTTGTTATGGTATCAACAGTTTTGTCAAAATTTGTTGATTAATGTATGAAAGTGGTGAAAAATTTTCACCATAATTATATTTTTCACATATTTTCGCCTTATAAATAACGGAAAGTCTAGATATCTGCTAATTTTCTTATATTATGGACAATTATCTGTGTAAATCAGTTAAAATAATAACAATTAAACACAAAATCATGGTAAAAATAATTTTTCAAAATTATTGAAACATGATAACTTTAATGAAGGAAAATCTCTGAAAAAACTTGATGCAAAATTCTAAAACTTACACTAATTACTCGTTTTTGTTGATAGAACCATATTAAAAAAGATTTAGATCAATATACAATACAGGAAGCTTAAAATCTTAAATTTTTTCAAGTGCGTCTAAACGAACTTCGCACTTTGTTGTTGTAATTTTTGAAAAAATTAATTTAATTACCTTAACAAAACACCAAGTCAAATAGTTTTAGTTTATTTTAAACCTTCTTAGTACTAGCTATAAATACACAAAATAGTTATTCCCTTAATAATGTTGAAGTAAGTAAAACATTAAAATATTGAAGTGCGTCTAAACGAACTGCGCGCACCTTATGAGCTTTTCCAACGACTGCAAACAAGAACTCATTTTCGGAAATAGGTACTTCATTTTCGAACTTGATTTGAATTTAAAATTTCCGTTGAAAATATTTGTTTACATTTCTTAGTCTTTATTGAATTTATAAAATTTCATTTTTTTAAAATAGTCAGAAATTGTGTAATTACTGGTTGTAAAGGAAAGAAAACCAATAAAATTCCTCTGTTTGAACTTCCAAAAAGCTCTGTGCATAAAGATAAGTGGATTGAATTTCTTAAACTGCATAATATTGAATATTGCTGTGAAAAAAAATATTTCTTGTGTATTCTTGAATTTATTTATAGACAGCTTAATTGTTTTATCTTATGTTCTGATCCTTCCTTTAACCAGAAATTCATTAATACAGTAATTGCACAAATTGAAGTCGATTTTGAACATTGTCAAGATACAATTGATAAATTATTAAAAGTTTTTGTTGAATTTAGAGTAAAATTACAATTTCAAAGTCGATTGGTACATAAAAGGAATAATTTTGCTTCAAAAAATAACTAGAATAAATATATTTTTATTAATTCCCTAACGATCATTTATTTTTTTAAAAAATTCAATAGTTCGAAACAGTTCGAAATTTTTCGAATTTCAGTTTGAATTTTTCGAATCAAACTGAAGTTTTCTTTGTTTGCAGTCGTTGGGAGCTTTTGAATTAATTTAAAAATGTTTGCATCAATGACGCAAAAAAATGTCAACAGAGGCAACTCTTAAATTCAACTAGATTTGATTGAAAAAAGGAAATAATTTTTTTAAGTTTAATGCTTTCAAAAATCATAGAAAAGTGGCCTGGAAAAAGTATTGGACTCTATAGATTCTTGCCTGCATTCTTTTTTTTGGGTGCTACTTTGGAATTTTCAATGATCAAATGGTAATGACGTAAGAAATTGGTTTTAAACCATAATATTTTATTTACTGAATTTATTTAATTAAATGCTTAAATTAACAGGAGAGTAGGCAGAACAAATTTTTACGATACGTATAAGAGGAAACAGGCCAAAAAAGTTATAGAAGAGAGATTAAAAAGTATAAACGAGTCTAGCTAAAAGATGCTTCCGACGAGTGTTACTTTTGGTATTTAAGCCTTTAAAAATGTTATTATGACATCTTATACAATTCTTTTCAATCTTTCTAGGTCAATATTGCCGATTTTCTATTGCAGCTTTAATGTCAATGTTTTTAGGATCACAAACTGTGCATTTATACTTTCAACCTTTAAGTGACATGGAACAATTTATCAACGAAGAAATTCAAAAATTGCCTGAAGACCAAAAGAAAAAACTGTTAAAGCCATAAGTTTTTTATATTTTAGAAAAGAATGTAATACACCATCTTTATTTAAAACACTTAATTTTTTTAGCACATTAACATGATTTATAACAATTTTTTTGCGTTCAAACATGTTAAACAACTAAAGAATGTTTAATGTGAGTCTAAAAACGTGGTTAATAAAAGTTAACTGACTATTTAAAATAATTTTATATTAATTTACCTTTCATGGGAGATGATGATGACTCACCAGCATTATCAGATTCAGATAGGCTTAGTTTGAAGTTAATTGGTCCATTTTGCAAAGATGCTTGCGATTTCAGCTTGAATAAACATAAATGGAAATGAAAATGCAATAAAAGTATAAGGGGCCGTTCACTTATTACGTTCGCATCTTGGGGGGGGGGGGGGTGAAAAATTGTAACAAAATGTAACATAGGGGGGGTGTTTAAAAATTCACACCAAAAACATTTTTTTTTCAAAATAAAATAAATTATGAAGGTTCAGGGGGAGGGAGGGGGGGGGGGGAGTTGTAACATATTGTAATAAGGGAGGGGGGGTGAAATAAGTCGTTTTTTGCGTAACGTAATAAGTGAACGGCCCAAAGTGATTACACATACCTTCTGCTTAGTCTGCTTTTTCTCTTCGCTTGTCATCATTTCCTGTACTCTTACAACCCTCTTTTGGCTTTTTACCTTAATTTATTTTAAAAAATATTCATAAATTAAATAATATAATTCAGTAAATTCGTAAAAGCACTGATAAGTATATGCACGACATACCAGCTTCTGCTCATCCTTCAATCTTGTTTCGAACTTTTGAATCGCATTATGTATTGAGTTCTTCCCTGAAATTTCTGCAATTGAAATCTCCTTTTTTAAACTTTCATGAATAGCATCAATACTCTTCTGAGTCGCAAATTCACCAAAAAATTTATGCGTTAACAATTGTTCAATAGTAAAGCTTGTTTTCAAGGATTCCTTAGTAATTAACATCTCTAAAAAAGATTCTAAATCCATGGTTTAACAACGAAAAAAAAGTAATTAAAATTTTTTTAAAAAGTTAAACTTTAGTGAATTACTTAAAGCTACGGGACAATCAGTAATTTCTCGAACAAATGGCTCTTGAAGGGAATATGTTGATTGCATTTCAAAAACAACGTGTCCAAAAATAAAAAGATCAACTTGCTCTATTGTAGTTATTTTACTATTCTGGACAATAAATGGCCTGGAATAAAAAGGATTAGACATATTGGACGTCAGAAAAGAAAAGAAAAAAAAATCAATATTTTACTTACCGATAAAATGATGGAACACCAAGCAAAAAGTTTTCAATGGCACTCAATTTCGCAATTCCATTATCAATAAAAATATTAGCTGTAGTCAAATGACCATAAGCCAAACCAAACGAATTCAAATATTTGATTCCTTCTAATATTTGTCGACTGTATAAAGCAACATCTTTCATTGGTAATTGTTTTCGATTTTTCGTAGTACCATATTTAGTGGAAAAAGAGTTTAATGGTTGAGATCCACATAATAAATCTTTCAAGCTACCATCTTTATGAAATTTCATAATCACGAGACATCCATTCTCATTACATTTAATGTATTCGATGGGATAAATTAGAGGATGCTTAATGGATGCTAAATCCTTTAAAATATTATTCAACTCCTTATCATTAATACATTTATCTTGACCAAATTCAGTCCAAGTCAGCAAATATTCATTATCACTTGAGTTTTCTTTATAACTTGATGTACTTGCTTGTGATTCAAGTTTTGATAAATGACCATGTTTCTGACATGCATGTGGTTTCTGTACTACCTTAAAATAGTGCTTACGAGCCCTCCATCCCATTGAATTCAATGAATTTTTCAACACCCAATTATCTGTTAATAAGGTTTTCCAAATTAAAGACATTTGTAATAATAATAATAAAATCAAATAAATTTACTTACTTTCGTTCTTTAACAAAGCCGTTACATTCTGATGGGCAATTTCTAAAGAGAGAAAATCATCCAAAATTAATTATATATTCAGCACCCATGAGAAAATTGCTTAGACTCAATACCAAAAATACACAAAAAGTCATCAATAAAACAAAAGAAAAATAGCAAAAGGACTTGTTACTTGATACATATTTTATAAACTTACCATGAAATGGAATAGAGATTGAGTCAGGATCAATATACTTTTTAGTTGGTAATGATGATGCTAAAATAAGAGAAATATGATGTCCAATGAAAATTCAAAAGTTTTGAAAGAGCTTTCAGATTCGTAGTCTAAAACTTACCTAAAATTGTATTCATATTGATAAAATTTATAATTATTTTTGTTTGACTTATTTAATGGTGGACATTTCTTTCATTGTGAGGATCAACTTTATCCTGTTAAGACTTTCAAATATTACATAAGCATTTTTACGATTAGCACTACGACTTTTTAAAGAGATATATCTTGGATAATGTTAGATTGATAATTGGTTTTTTTCTTCTTAAAGCTTTTCTTTCCAAATAATTGATATATTTTTTTTGATGTAAAATATATATAATTTAAAACCTAAAATTAAAGTTTTAATATTTATTAGTAATTTTCGTGAAATTGATCGCAATAAATCTTTTAGGATTATCAAAATAATTCACATTTTTTGAAATAAAACCTCAAATTTTTTTCAATACAAAAAGAAATCAGCTTAAATTTTAATGAACCCTTTAAGAAAAAGCTCTTGTTCAAATTTTTGTTTTTATTTATAACTTACTTTCTTGATATGAGATTAGTCCGAATTACAAGTTTAAATGTTTAATGTTAACGCTCAGAATTTCTTGACATGTAAATTTATAAAAATTAAAAAATTCTACGAATAAAATTTTTTAAAATTGTACAAAACTTTCTTTTAATTTTCGAATTGCGAAAGAAGCACCACTGCATCCTTTTTCCAGTCTGGCAACACGATGATGTTTTCGAAAAATTGAAAATGAGAAAAGCTGTTTTCCTACAGAAGCGTTTTAGAAGTTCAAAAGTTCTTTTTATTAAGCTTCATTTATTTTTGTACATTCTTGCATAAAAATCAATAAAGTTTGTTTAATCCTTATTAAAATTAAGTTTGAGTCAACAGATTCTCATTGACATATTAATTATATATATGTATACATGTGTACATCTCCTTTTGAACTTACAAAATTTTGATACTATTGAAAGCTTTCTCAAAATTTGAGTTCGCAAAATGTTGAATGTTTAAAACATTGAGTTTTAACAAAAACAAAAAAAAACCCGAGTCACATTCTTTAATTATATTCGGTTAAAATCCACATTTTTGATTCTTACTCAAAATATGAAAGAGAATAAAATTTGTTTTATAAATTTCGTAGAAATTTAAAATTTTGAATTTCTATAATAACCAAAAAGAGCATTTTAATATGATCAAATCACAAAGTTAATGTGAAATAATATCAATATCAGCTACAATTTTTGTATGAACTATATTGTTGAATTTTCATCATTGTCATCGACATCATCAGTTTTGTTTTCGTCATTTAAATCATTATTTGGCTTGGAGTCTTCTGAAGAATCTGAAGATTGACTATTGACGTTTTCAGATTTATCCTTTTGGCGTTCAAGAAAACTTTTATGCGCATTAGCTAAACGATTATCCAATTCAATTCGTTTTTCTTTATTCCGAGTCATTTTTTCATAAAATTCTTTAGTTTCAGCTTCAAGACGAGCTAATCGAGCTTCCCTTGTTTTTAAATAATCATCTTCTGCTGATGTTGTTGGATTAAAAGTTTCCTGCTTTTCACATTCCATTTGAATGTCTGTATTGTCTGATGATATTTTTTCTTCGTTTTGAACTGGACAAGTTTCTTGGATCGTATCTACAATATCCATAGGAATTTCTTCAATATTTTCAAGCTCCTCATCAATTTCTTCAGTCGTTGTCGAAATTTCGCCATTTATTGATCTAGTTAATCTTTTGAACATATCTTCGGCTGATTCTGTTCCTGAAATGGCATTTTTTTTCTTTTTGTGTTTTTTTGACTTTTGTAAATCATTCTTGATTTTCGGTTTAGTTTCATTTTTCTTTAATTCATGAACATCTGGTGGTAAAGTAACTAAAACACTGTCACCATTGAGGTTTTCAAGATGTTGTTCTACTTCAACAATTGAACATGAAATTTCAGACTTTTCATCGCAATCTTGTTCTGGTAATAAGTAGATTTTATCAAAATGTTCTTTTAAGTCAAAATCAGCTGGAGGTTCACTTTGTGCACGGGGTGGAGTAATTGAAATATCAACAGGAAATAATTGGTATAAAATTGGAAGCTCTAAGCTTCTTCTTCGATCAGAATCAATCAGATAAAGTGGAATTCTATAAAATTCTGATAAATTTCTTTCAAATCGTGCCTTATCATTTTCACAAGTAATATTTTTCTTTTCACATTCATCACCGTCAGAGGCATGATCATCACTATATCCACTTTCTGCAGAGTTTTGATCTTGAATCTTCCTTGATATAAATTCATCTCTTAATTCTTTACATTGTTTCTCGGATTCCTTATTGATAGCACGCGCCAGTGCCCATTTCTTTCTACAATATTCTAGTTCAGCCTTTAGTTCATTGAGTACTCGTCTTTTTTGCTGAAGTTGATAGCACAAGATCTGCTCGTGAGTATGAAGTTGTCTGTGTTGTCTCTGGAATTAAGAGGAAAATATAAAAAATTAAAGTTCAATAGAGTTTTAATTAATAAAGGTTTAAAATGCTAGAAACTTACTTTAATTTTTCCAACTAAATGCCACGTTTTCGTTAACTCTAAACTAACAGAACTCAATTTCTTTTCTTGCTTATCAAGTCGCTGTTCCAAATGTGAATAAAGGGTTTTTAATCTTGTTGTATCTTTTTGCAAGGATCGCTTTTCAAAAATTAAATCACGAAGTTTTATAAAAGTTTTGCTAACACTCAATACTGCTTGCGAACCAGACGATGTTGGAACTGATTTATAACAATCATCTAGAACAGATTTCTCATTACTCTTTTCATCTTCTTCTTTATTTTCGTCTTTCTGATTATTGTTTTGATGGTGATTTAACAGCTCAATCAATATTCTAAAGACCTTGGGTAGTTTTAATGCTATGTCTTCTGGACTGCTGACAGATCTTTGAGCTTCAATATTTTCACATGAGTTCTCATCTGACTTTTGATTGACTTGAAGAAAAAGATCGTAAAGCATTCTGGGTAAAAAGGAACCACCATCAATTCCTCCATAATCTTCCTTTAAAGCCATTTCTTTTAGAAAATCTCTATTTTCTTCCAGCATGCTATAAAGCATGTCAAAGTTTACATTGTTTCCAGTAGCATTAAAATCAAAAAGAATTTGGGATATAAGCTGAAATATAATGTATAAGCATGTAAATAAGTCTCCATCTTGCAATATGATTAAATGTACCTGATTAACAGCATTCATCTCTTCATTGATTTGGAGCTTTTCAGATTTAAGAAGAGTAATTTGATTTTCTAAATTTGCAATATCATCGTTCTTTACGTTTAAATTACTTTCTAATGTTGCAATGTATTCCTCAAAATTTTTAGATCTAAGTTAAGTTGGTAGGAGAAAAATTTTATAATTAAATTTCACTAAATGTTATTTTTAAATTTATTTAATTCTACATACTTTTCAATTTCGGTCTCTAGGTCATGCTCCTTATCACCAAGTTGCTGTTTGAGCATATTATTCTCTTGAAGCAATAAATTGGTTCTTTCTTCGTACAACGAACGCATGCTTCGTATATTTTCTAACTGTCTTTGATATTCTTGTTTGAGATCTGTCGACAATATTGTTGCTTCCTTGTCACAAAATGAACTTTCTATCTCATCAAGTTTCGATTTTAATTGATCAACTTGGCATTCGCGAATTGCCAACATTTCTTTCATAGCTTTATTAACTTCTTTTAATGAACGAATGTGATCTCTTAATGCTTGATTTTCAATATTTACAGTGAGATTTTCTCCATTTACTTTCTGCAAGTACATCTGACATTCAGCTAGTTCCATTTTTAAATTTTTATTCTCAACATTAACATCATTTGTTACCACATCATCGCTTCGATTATCAATTGACTCACGCAACTGTTCATTAATCATCATTTGATAAGATAACTTTTCATTCAAATCTTTAAGCTCGTCTCGCAATTTCTTTATACATTGTTGACGTAATGCTCGCTTTCTGTTTATTTCCTCTCGAAACTCTTCCAATTCTCTTTGTTGTCTTTTCTTAATTTCTGCAGATGAATCATCTGATTCTTCTGTATGAATTTCTTTGTTTGAGTTCATTTGAAGGCCTTCATGATTTTCACTTGTATCAGCTTGCTCATTTTCAAAATTCGGGATATTTTCATCACTTTTGAGAATAGTCAGATCTTTTCCAATTAAATCGGTTAAGCATTCGTAAAATTCTTCTTCATTATCTGAATAATCCGGCTCGCTAATGATAATTTCAACATCACTTTTGATAAATTGTGTGTTACTTTCCTTACGACTTTGAACTGATCCCATCGTACTCAAGTGTCATTGACAGAGTAAAACAATCTCTTTGTTCTTAAAATTTCAAAAATATTCCGAGAAAAATAAATATTTCTTGAAGTTTATCCTATACGTCAGTAACTATTATGTACTTGTTTTAATTATTATATTGTAAAATTCTTATAAAAAATACAGTAATTAAAATCAATTTAATTTATTAAATTAAATATATACCAAGCAAATTTGGATATCTGATCTATTGAATTACAAAAGAGAAACTGAGAAAATCTCACAATTTTCTTCGAGCATCGTGAAAAGTCGAATGTTTAAAAATAAATTTTATGAAGAAGAAAAAAAAAGAAAAATAAGCTAAAGTAAATTTTCATAGCTCAAAACGCAGTTCTCATTAAATCAAACCTACATTTTTAAAAAGAATACATCGACAAGAACTAAAAATACCAAAAAAAAAAAATTTCTTCAGAACTAAAACAGAATCAGTTTTTATGCTCTTTACAAGCTTCCAGTAATAAAACCTAAACAACATAGAAATTTTTTACGACTCTTTAAACTCAAATATTTAAAATAATTTGTTCTAAAGAACGAAACGATTGTTTCATGTAGAGAAAATTAAGAAAATGTGCTAATAATAAAGAGAAAAACTTGGCAATCAAAATATGACATGTAGAGCACATGATTAAGGAGAATGATAAGCAAAAAAATTTACGAAGTTTTAAAAACGCATCAGTTTTCATTATTTTAGTTTAAAAATTATTAATGCTAAAGAGTCAATATTAATATTTGTAATCATAATTGAACTTTCTCATACCACATTCCATATAATTTTTGGTTAAGAGACTTTAAAAGTTTATCAAAATTTTTGAAGAAAATTAAGCATTATTACACGATACAATGAATTTATAATGGAATTACGCATCAATTGGCCTTTAAGTTTTTTCGGTCAGTTTCAGCATGAAGGTACTGGGATAAGAAATTGCATACTCAGGTGGAGACTTAGGAAGGAAGAAATTTGAGAAATGTGCTAAGCATGTTTTTGAGGTTAAGTTCGTTGAATCTCTACGTCAACTATCATGAATATAGGGCTCTCGTCAATGCTTTATTGGACTTTTACTTTAGTTATGAAATCCCGAGGTTTGGATATTATTTATTTTGAATTGGTTTGGATTGTGAATTTAAAAAATTCAATTAAATAATAAGTAACGTAGAAGCTGAAAGAAAATTAAATTAGTAAACAGCATAACACGGACAGAAGGATTGACAGAAATTACATCAGATAGAGCGACTTTATACAACATGTCGCTGTTTTTTTGGACATTCCCTTTTATTTTCAAAAACCTTTTTATAGAGGATAAGCCTCGTTCGAAAAAAAACAAAACCACCCCAGTTTTGGTTCTTTTTCACCAAAAATTTAAACCCTTGGCGTCATTGGATCACCACTCGCAGATAGATTTTTCAAGGCTCTTCCCGCCATCCACACCCATCTCTCACCTGATGATAAGACGTTTGCTAAGACAACATTCAATATATTTTTATGAAAACACAAGAAAGAAACAATAAAAAGAGCTGATTGCGAAAATCAGATTCTGTTTATCGAGCAGCAGAACATACTAGAGATTTGTAGAGAATAAAATTAAGAAGACAGCATCCAGTATGTCGTGAATATTAGCATTATTTATCATTTATAATACCTAGATATGTTTTAAAATGCAATTTAAAGCATTTTTGGTTTAGATCATAGGAGGCTTTTTTTAAAAAAAAAATAACGATTTTAAATCTTTATTAGCATTCTAAATCATTTATAATACCTAGATATGTTTAAAAATGCAATTTAAAGCATTTTTGGTTTCGATAATAGGTTTATTTCAAAAAAAAAATATCGATTTTAAATCTATATTAGCATTCTTTATCATTTATTTATAATACCTAGATATGTTTTAAAATGATATTTAAAGCATTTTTGGTGTTGATCAAAGTAGGCTATTTTCAAAAAAATATCGATTTCATATCTAAATTAGCATTTGTTATCATTTATAATACCTAGATATGTTTTAAAATAAAATTTAAAGCATTTTTGGTTTCGATAATAGGTTTATTTCAAAAAAAAAATATCGATTTTAAATCTATATTAGCATTCTTTATCATTTATTTATAATACCTAGATATGTTTTAAAATGCAATTTAAAGCATTTTTGGTGTTGATCAAAGTAGGCTATTTTCAAAAAAATATCGATTTCATATCTTAATTAGCATTTGTTATCATTTATAATACCTAGATATGTTTTAAAATAAAATTTAAAGCATTTTTGGTTTCGATCATAGTAGGCTACTTTCAAAAATATATCGATTTTAAATCTATATTAGCATTCTTTATCATTTATAATATCTAGATATGTTTTAAAATGCAATTTAAAGCATTTTTGGTTATGATCAAAGTAGGCTGTTTTTTAAAAAAATCAATTTTAAATCTTTATTAGCATTTTTTATCATTTATAATATCTAGATATGTTTTAAAATGCAATTTAAACCATTTTTGGTTTCGATCAAAGGAAGCTGTTTTTAAAAAAGTCGATTCTAAATCTTTTTTAGCATTCTTTATCATTTATAATACCTAGAAATGTTTTAAAATGCAATTTAAAGCATTTTTGGTTTCGATTATAGTAGGCTGTTTTTAAAAAAAATCGATTTTAAATCAATATTAGCATGTTTTATCATTTATAATAACTAGATATGTTTTAAAATGCAATTTAAAGCATTTTTGGTTTCGATCATAGGAAGCTTTTTTCAAAAAAAAAATATCGATTTTAAATCTTTATTAGCATTCTAGGGTAAACCATGTTGAAATTTGTGCAATGTTGAAATTTGTGCGCTCAAATAAAAAAGAAATTAGCCCAAATAAGCCATTTAAACCAAAATTTTGTTTGCAGTTCTGTGTAAAACAGTTGTACAAACATTTCTACATCATTTTGGACAGTCTCGAAGCTTGGAGCAGCTTTAAATTTTAAAAATTCAAAATCCCATACAAAATTGTGATTTTCATATTTTAAAATATTTGGACATAACCAGTTCTGCTTGTAATCAAATCACAGTTTAAATATAAAATTTGATAATTGCTATAATGTTTCAAAAAAATTCAAGTTATAAAAATCATTGGAAGTGCTTTAAAAATTGATTTTAAAATTTCTTGATTGTAAATGTTAAAATTTGTGCGAATTTTTTTTACAAATTTTGAAATTTGTGCGTTTTTTGTCGTAGAAAGCGATGGGAATTTTTGTCAACAACAAATATTATTTACGTATGAAATTCATGTTTTTACAGGATTTCATGAAGAATAGCATAAATGGAACTACTGAAAGTCAAAAACTGATAACAGCTGATAAAAATTAAAAACGTGGGTCATTTAAAATTTAAAAAAAAAAACATAAAACAAAAATGCAAAAGACTTCAAGGATATCCATACAGATCCATATATTCAAAAAGTATATCCTGTTAAGTGTCCAATTTCAGATCTTTAAATAAAAACATTTTGATTTCCTATTTTTCATCTTTTTATTGCTAAAACTCTATGCTGCATAAAATTTACACAAAAATGGAGGAATTACTGATTTAATGGATGTTCCTTTGACGGTTGTAAACTCAGCCAGCTCAAATTGAGTTAAATCTTGAATCTTGTATTATTTCTTGAGGAAAAGGTTTGAAACAATTCAGCTTTATATTCTTAATTTCATTTAAAGTTTATTCAAAGCAGTTCCTTCAGCAAAATATCAATTTCTGTTCCAAATATAAATAAAAAATATGTTTGTTTACATTTAAGAATTGCAATTATGTCAAAGATTGCTATTGAAAAAACGCACAAATTTCAACATTTTTTCGCACAAATTTTAAAATTTTCCGCACAAATTTCAACATTTGATCGAAAAAGTCAAAAATCTCTTCCCATATGCAGCATAACCTTGAAAAAACATTATTAACTGAAAATTCCCACAATTATTGATCTTTTGAGCCCATTACCAAATTTACATGATCAGTCATTAGCAACTTATTTGCAAATCAAATCTTCATGTGCAAAAACACACAAATTTCAACATGGTTTACCCTATATCATTTATAATACCTAGAAATGTTAAAAAAATGCAATTTAAAGCATTTTTGGTTTCGATCATAGGAGGCTTTTTTCAAAAAAAAAAATATCGATTATAAATCTTCATTAGCATTCTTTATCATTTATAATACCTAGATATGTTTTAAAATGCAATTTAAAGCATTTTTGGTTTTGATCATAGTAGGCTGTTTTAGAAAAAATCGATTTTTCATCTATATTAGCATTCTTAATCATTTATAATATCTAGATATTTTTTAAAATGCAATTTAAAGCATTTTTGTTTTTTGATCAAAGTAGGCTATTTTCAAATATAAAATCGATTTTAAATCTTTATTAGCATTCTTTATCATTTATAATAACTAGATATGTTTTAAAATGCAATTTAAAGCATTTTTGGTTTGGATCATAGAAGGCTGTTTTTAAAAAAAATCGTTATTAAATCTATATTAGCATTCTTTATCATTTATAATACCTAGATATGTTTTAAAATGCAATTTAAACCATTTTTGGTTTTCGATCAAAGTAGGCTATTTTCAAAAAAAAATCGATTTCAAATCTATATTAGCATTCTTTATCATTTATAATACCTAGATATGTTTTAAAATGCAATTTAAAGCATTCTTGGTTTTGATCAAAGGAAGCTGTTTTTAAAAAAGTCGAATCTAAATCTTTTTTAGCATTCTTTATCATTTATAATACCTAGAAATGTTTTAAAATGCAATTTAAAGCATTTTTGGTTTCGATCATAGGAAGCTTTTTTCAAAAAAAAAATATCGATTTTAAATCTTTATTAGCATTCTATGTCATTTATAATACCTAGAAATGTTAAAAAATGCAATTTAAAGCATTTTTGGTTTCGATCATAGGAGGCTTTTTTCAAAAAAAAAATATCGATTTTATATCTTTATTAGCATTCTTTATCATTTATAATACCTAGATATGTTTTAAAATGCAATTTAAATCATTTTTGGTTTCGATCATAGAAGGCTTTTTTTGAAAAAATATCGATTTTTTATCTAATTTAGCATTCTTCATCATTTATAATACCTAGATTTGATTTAAAATGAAATTTAAAGCATTTTTGGTTTCGATCACAGGAGGCTTTTTTCAAAAAAAAAAAACATCGATTTTATAAAA